GTTCGATAGACTGGGTCGTTTGCGGCACCCTTATCTGGATTCTCAGGAGCCTCCTTATGTATCAGAGGACAGCCCTCCAAGGGTTTCATATTCCAATAAGAGTAGTCGCCAATCGTCTTTGAAAAAATCAAAATCGACAACAGTCTATCGCCAGGCTGACGATCCATCTTTAGGCGAGCCATCAGGTCAACATCAGCAAATCGTGTTCTACGAAGAACAAAGTGATCGAGAAGACTCTGATGACTACGCTTACCCAATCGATACTATAAAACGCGCTCCTAAAATGTCAAAATCTGGCAGTTACTTATTTGAGCGCGGGGAGTCCGTAGCGTACTCCGACACGGAGCTGCCTCACGATAAAGACGAATATGAAGAGTACAGAGGCAGCCCGTATCCGGAACATTACGAAGAAGTAGTAATGTTCCAGACGCAGGAATGTTACCCGCAGTACGAGCATGGTCTCGACGAGAGTAGGGATGCCAACCAGGAACATTACGCTCGAGATCTCGACCAACGATTCAGTCTGAATAATGTAGAGAGGTTCTATTCTAGCCACTACGTCGACTCACAAGCTTCCAGCGACAGCCCTGAGCAAAAGTTCGACGTCTCCACGTTGCCCCCGCCTCTTTGCTCTGACGACGAAAATGATTAAATTGTAGTTTGCAGTGTAATTTCTTATTAAAATACATGTTTGGTTTGGTCGTTGTCACCCCTCGCCTCGTCGGCTGAACGTTCTCTCTTTGGAATGCGAGCGTGCCGACCGGTTAGCGTTTCGAAAATTTAAATTCAAATTAATGCAATTATTGTTATTAGGGTACTCATTATATTGAAAATTTACATTGTCACTTTAAATATTTAGCAAAATAATGAATTAAAAATATCTAGTGCCGATTCCTGGATAGCGCGACCCTTTTGACTATCGTGTGAACGCGAATTCATACCTATAGCTTGTTAAGTATTTAGGTGTAGTTGTAATATGTGTATGGATCTAAATTATACATTTCAGACGTCTCAATTATGGAATCTGATCAATATAACGTAAACTTGAATATGTAACGGACCCCTATAAGCGTGACTTTATAGTTTGTTTATTCCCTAGAGCTATAGCTTCGAGGAAAACAGAATACAGGTATAAGAACGTAGTGCCAACGTCTTCTAGTCGTATATTTTAGTCTTTTCAACCTTTATAAAAGTTATATTCGTTGATAAAAATATCCTGAAAATAGTATTATTGTAAAGGCTGTGATTTACTTTGTGTGGTGATGAGATCCAAGATCTGAGTTCTGTTTAGGCGTTTACTGCTCAAACGATCAAAGTATTATTTATTGCACTTAGCACGTTATTTAGTTTTATATAGTTTATAGTTGTTTTATCTTTGTCCATGACACTGCACTAGTTGATACAACATGGGATCTGCATTCGTGCCAAATATGCTCAATTTTTTCCAACACTTTTTATTATGAATAATTTTATTGTAAAAATTTTTAATGATGAATTTCGGGATTATTAAAAAGTTATAGTTTAAATAGATATGTGGTAACGAGAATGTGTCGTGTGCATTATTATTAGCGCTTTTTTATTGACTATCATCGAAGTTAATGACTGCGTTTTTTTATTTAAATAATTCATATAGAAGTTTAGTCGTCATCGACTACGTTTCTTATCTTACATTTATAATATTTATTCTTAATTACTACCAAAGAGAGAAATCTTTCAAAAAACATTTTCGACCGCGTACAATTTTAATTTTAAGGTTAATTTCAAAAAAAATAAAGGAATTTTTGATGGAAATGAGGAAAATTGTATGGCCACGTATTCCTAAAGGCTTCTTGTAAACTGTTCCTGTAAAAAATAACAAAATAGTAAAAAATATTTCATATATTTTAAACAGTTCACAGCTTAAGCATCCTGTTTTTTTCGCCCAATTTATTATCCTTAAAAGTGTTTAAGCAAAAGCCTATAATTATGTTCCCTGACACCAAAATATAAGCACAATTTAATAAGCAATACAGAATTCTCCTATTTTGCCAAAATGAATGCTATCCCCTACAGTTTAATCACAATATATTTAGATAGGAATAAATTATGATCGAAAAATAGACGAATTGTGTGTCGGTATAGTTGTGAGAATTTCTTTTGAGAATGTAGTATTAGTTAAGGCTGTCGTGTAAGTGGAGTACGTAAATTGATGATTATTATATATTAATATATCATAGTAAATTGTCACTTCTGTTCCTTACATGTGGTAGATTCGTTTTATATATCGACGTGCAAATTATCTTGTGTGTTAATTACATATGGGTGTTAAAATAAGCAGCTTTGAACTTGAACAAATAGTTCTACGGTATATTTGAGGTGTCAATGATTTTCTACAGTGTCTTAGATACTACTAAATTTGTTATAAGTGCGTGAAATTTTTTGACACCATAAGCCACATGTAATTTGCCAAGCAATCTTAATTTTAACACCCTGTGTAACAATGTTTTGTTATTTCGTAGTAAAATATTTTACGTAAATAATGCTGATGTTTTAAACAAATATATTTTACGTTATACATTGGGGAAGCCAGTGTATTGTAGAAATTATTATATTTATTTGCAAAATATAATTAAACTTATGAAAATTTTAGCTATATCGAACCCTTTACAGTGTTTACAATGTTTTTCATGAACTTTACTGATACGCAAGTAATGAAAGGGAGTAAAGTTGGAGCTTTTTCGAGTATTTTTATTATTCAACGATTTTATTTACTTAACTCAATGACTGAAATTACAAGTAACGACACGAATAGAGAATTGTAGCTTACAATTTTGTTAGTTGCGTATCAGTAAAGAGGTTATATTCAAACTATTATCCTATAAACCCTGTGCTAAATAGTGTTCAATTATAATTGAATTAAAAGATTAAATGGTCGTGTGTGCACGAAGCAATTTTAGTCTACTAGCGTAAAGAGGTCGTACGGACCTCCCTAGTTAGCGCAATAACTGTACGTTACGGTATAAAAATCTTAGAACTTAAGTATTTTGACTTTTCGATTAAAATTGTACAATCCAAATAGACTGTAATGTTACAATTCCATTATATTGTTTAAGTTTGAGCTAGCGCTTCGAATGACTACTGTCAACGATGAGATTAAATTGATTTCAAAAGGACTATTTGATTGTTACATGATAACTCAAAAATAATTTTAATTCACAATGTGAACGACAATTCGCCTTTAAAATATTCCTTATTTCAGTCAAATATTAATTTCAATAATTTGAAACAGTATTCAGCTTTTCCGATTATGGTTCATTAGTTGTTACTAGTTACTAATTTTTACTACAATGATAGACTAGTTCTATTTTTTTAAGTTTATACAACACAAGATGGGTTTCAAGATCATTCAGTTCTGGAGACTTAGATCTGCATAGGATGTGTATTTTTAAACATTAACTGCTAAACATTATTGAGATATGTATACCATAAATTATTATAATTATTTTAATGTCTTCTGTCGTGGGAATTAGTAAAATTCTGCAGTTGGCTTCCCTCCTTTTTCAAATCATCAATCATAATCATCAATGATGATCTCTGGGCGGGGCGAGAGGTAGTTTCAGACCCTCACTGCCTTAAAATCCTCCGTTCCTTCGCCTGCTTTGGTCGTGGTATATAATTACTCTCCCAACCTTGGCCTTAGCTGGTTCACTAAATCGATTTAATTCAATAATTCCCAAATCTCGTTCGCAGTATCATTCGAAGCGTAAGCACTTAAGTCATGTAATTAAAAAATATTGTTTCGATTATTGAAACGTTACTTCGTTTTTGAATTTATATGTGAGTGTAAGTGTACTGTGTCCTGCAATACACGGCACTGCCCCGCCTCGACGGGGATAGTTAAACAATAAATAAAATAAAATTACAAATACTCTTTTCATTATCATGTATGTGTCGACCATTTTTGTTTTTGTACCTTTGTTGTTAGCTGCCAGGATGTTTCATGTAAGTTTTTAATATTGTAATAATGATTTGTGATTGGTGGGAGAATTTATTCTGGAATTTAAAATTTTGGATGTGTAATGTTTTATTTTGATCGAAAGTTATGGACAAATCGTTTTGTTCTAACATTTATATTCTACATTTAAAGTTCTCCCACCTTTCATGGAATACTCTCAAATAGTAATATTTGTTAATTAAGTTTCGACAAAAATATCAATATGAGCTTTATTAAAATAACCTAAATATTAGGAATTGTTTTCACTATAACTTTACCATGTTTTAATTATTTTTGTCGAAGCTCAGTGCAATGAATTATTTTCTTTATTTTTTACCATGCAATGTTTTTTTAAATGTGTTTGTTTCAGTTATACCTAATTCTTGTTTTTTTGTTAATTATATGTTTTCCAGGGTTTTTCTTTTGTTCACAGATTTTGCTTTTTCCTTGCATGCTATATTCCCTTTATAGTTTAAGATTTTATTGATTTCACTTGGACTTTTACATATTTTTAATATTGTTATTTTGATCCATTTATTATTTAATTGATATTTTATTTACTTTTTCTTCTTAATAAGTCAAAAAACCGAAACCGTAATCAGAATGGAAAGTGTTCTTTGAGTATAATTTACAATTTCCTTAACTAAATCACCAACAGGGTAGATTCCAAGGTCAAAAACAAATAATTCGACGTGAAATGTTGAAAAATAAATATACTTTTATGTCATCATGTCTGTCGATACACAAAATTTTCCATATTTTTTGGCAAATTTTTAAGAAATAAGTAATATTTTTGAGTCAAAAATACTATGACGTCATAATTTAGAGTTTCTTACAAATTTCATAGAAATGTATCGTTTTTGAAATTTGGATAAATGTATTGAATGTGACTAGTTGGAAATTACCGTATTAAACAAAGTACCTTGGTTATAAACTTGAAATTTTATAATATTTGATGTTATTACTCAAGTACACCTTCCAATCTGATGTTATAAGGCAGCTATTAAACCTCTTTTCTCCTCAACAGACGAGACATCGCCCGAGGAGGATAACACAGTGTCATCAGCCAGTCTCTGCATGTCTCCAACATCGGTCACTGACCATAGTATAGCGGGTGTTCCAATATTCGCGTCGACGCCCCTCGTGTCCAAACAACTAACGAACGGACACGATGTAGTTGACAACAAGAGAATTAGTGAAAATAATAATGACACTGTCAATGGGAATGCTAATGGTGAGTTTTAAAAATAGTATTTTTGTATAGTTCTGACTCATGAATAAGAGTCCCACAATGAGTTGAAACTAGTAGGCCTTTTCTTAGTTCATTCAAGCACGTTACTTCGTTATCTTCAGCCGGGGTTGTAGGGTAAGCGCAATGAGGCACTGCGACCTCGGCCCAGAGCAGGAGAATGAACAGGGGGTTTTTAGTCAGTAAGAGTGTGACACTCCCTTCCTGGATATACATAGAAGGTTTACGGTTTAAATACGACTAGGTTAATAAAAAAAACTGAGGAGGTTCGAAGTTTACCCAGTCAGTTAGTTTTCAATATAAAAAAGTTACCTTTTTATTTCTACTTATTTTTTTTAGTTACTCCGCCAAACGTTATTCTAGTGTGATCGATCTCATTGCCAAATAGTCTTTATATGAATGATTAGAAAACTTATAAAATATTTTTATTAGAATACTTATAAACTTTTGCATTTATAAAAAGTATAATTATTATCTTTAAATCTGCAAATCATCGTTAATATGCTATTAGTGATAGACTGATATTGGAGTAATATTATATTGATTTAATGATAAAAAATAGAATATAAGGTGATTTATTTCTCTTTTCGTAGTAACATTAGTTTCTGAGTCGGTGAACAGTATGGACGTACTCAGTGGTGGGGAGAGCGACGCCGGGGATACACTTTCGAGGCGGAATAATAATAGGTGAGTTTATTAATAAAATACTCTGTAACAAAGTCTGTGTATTTGAATTAACGGTCAGGTTGATATAAAAGAGAAAGCGTTGATGCTATTTTTGAAAAAAATGTCACCTAAGCAATTAACTTAGGTATTTTGTTTTTATAGTAAGTTTTATGGTTTTTATTTTTTCATATTTACCTTTACGATTTTTGTATACTTTTTGCATCATATGGCTTCATATAATTAAGGTCTTTCGTAAGAGATTTATGAAGACTCTTACTGTAGAGTACGCTATGAATGTCTGCTCTTACAGGCTATATATCCTTCCGACAAAATAACGATCAGATGAATTAAAATTTTTGGTACGAGTTCAAACTAGTGTCTCTGTAGATAAGAAGATCAAGTTGTCTGTTTGACATTTTAGAGACTACGGCCACAAATAAAATATCATTGCTAATTGCTACCACTCTTAAAATGGTCTTGGTTTAGAAATCCAATAAATTGCTTCTCTTTTATGGATAATACAAGAACAATCTGTGAATTTCCGTTCAAAGTCAAAGTCAAAAGTCAAAGTCAAAGTCAAAGTCAAAGTCAAAGTCAAAATCATTTATTCCAATTAAACCATCAATAGGTACTTTTGAAACGTCAAAATAGAAAAGTAGTCTGTCAGTCTGTTCGTCAGTGAAGCTAGGTGCTCATTCCAAATTGTAGATTCGAATGGAGAAGAACGAGCAAGAAACTCCATTCGTTACTCTTTTTTTTTTAAAAAAATTGTTTTACAATTTCAATAATATAACATTTATAGTATACATTAGTGTACCCTTATGTGAGAACAATGCAGAGACAAGTTGTTAAAAAAAAGAACAAATGAGGGGACCTATCATAAAATTTTACTCCTTTGTCGTCTCGAACATGGCGCTCACATATGCGTACTCACAATATTTAAGAGTGCTTCTATATAAACTTTTTGGATATTTAAATTAAGGATGCATTATTTTTGAGAATTTTACCTAACTGCTGACTATATTTGAGTATTGTCCAGTGGAGCCGAATCAACACGCTGCCAGGCATTCTTATCCTCAATATAATCTGAAAGTTTGTAGTATGCCTGTCTACACAATTCACGTTTAATATAAGTTTTAAATTTTCGTTCGTTAAGATTCAATACAGTACTTGGAATTTTATTGTAACAATTTACACAGAACCCCATAAAGGATTTCTGTACCTTGGACAGACGGAATCGTGGCACAGCCAGCCTATCTTTGCCTCTTGTATTAAAATTATGTCTATCGCTTCTTTTTTCAAATAATTGCAAATTTTTCCTTACATACATAATATTTTCATATATAAACTGACAAGGCACCGTCAGGATATTTATCGTTTTAAATAGTTCTCTCAGAGATTCGCGACGGGGCAAGTTATATATCGCTCGGATAGCCCGCTTTTGTAGAATAAATATTGATTCTACTTCCGCAGCTCGACCCCACAGCAAAATTCCGTATGACATAATGCTGTGAAAATAGCTAAAATAGACAAGCCTTGCTGTGTTCACGTCTGTGAGCTGTCTTATCTGTCTAACTGCAAAAACAGCAGAGCTTAGTCTCCCCGAAAGCGTCTTTATGTGGGAACCCCATTGAAGTCTATTGTCTAGTGTGATACCTAGAAACACTGTCTCGTTGACAAATTCTAACTTTTGCCCATTTAAAATTATGCTACAATCATTACTGTGTACGTTAGGCAAGCTAAATTTAATACATTTTGTTTTTTTTCTCGTTAAGTGCTAAATTATTGACTGTAAACCAATTATGAACTTGATGAATGGAGCTGTTTACTTCGTCAAAATTATTAGAACGTCGACCTATTTTAAAAATTAATGATGTATCATCAGCAAACAGCACCATACTTGGCTCGGTTTTAAATAGAAATGGCAAGTCATTAACATACACTAAAAAGAGAAACGGACCCAATATTGAACCCTGTGGAACGCCCATTCTTATCTCAGAGCCCTGTGAGTTATAACCACCTACATGAACTCTCAGCTGCCTATCCTCTAAATATGATTTTAGTAGACGGAGTGCAGTATGTCTAATCCCGTAATGATCTAATTTCAGCAAGAGTGTTTCATGATCAACGCAATCGAACGCTTTTGAGAGGTCGCAAAAGACACCAACAGCATCCTGTGCTTCCTCCCAAGCACCGAGTACTTCCTTTATCAACGTGACACCGGCGTCAGTTGTACAACGACCTTTAGTGAAACCGTATTGTTGGTGATGGAAGATGGCATGTTTATCAAAGTGATGAAGCATCCGAGATAGCATTAACTTTTCGAACACTTTGCTAAGAACCGGCAGAACAGACACAGGCCTATAGTTGTTTGGTTCCTTAGTGTCACCATTTTTGAATAATGGAATAACTTTACTGTATTTCATTAGGTTTGGGAAGACACCGTCATCTATACTTTTATTGAAAATCAAAACCAGATACGGCGCTAAAGTTCGGATAAGTGATCCGCAGACTTTCACGGATAGTCCCCAAAGGTCCTCAGTTGATTTGACCTTGATTTCTTTAAAAACCTTTATTATCTCTAAAGGACTAGTATAATGAAAACTAAAGTCGCATTCGCATGATTTAACATTTTCTCTAAGCAAAGTTGCCGATAGTCTGGCCGATGATTTTAAATGAGCCGTTGTTTTGACAGGTATATTAGCAAAAAAAGTCTCAAACTCCTGAGCTACATCTGTGCTTGACGAAATCTGTCCCCTCTCTGTGTTTAAACAAAAAGCCGAATGTTTTAATTTATTCCTACCTGTCTCATTCTGTATTATTTTCCACGTAGCCTTTATCTTATCTTCAGCTGATTTTATTTTATTACTGATGAAAAGACGCTTTGCGGTTTTGCATACTATTCTAAATGTCTTTGAGTACAATTTTACATGTTGATGAAAAAGAGGGTCGCAATTGTATGGTTTCATGCCATAAAGTTCAAAAAGTTTATCTCTACTCTTACGAATACCTGCGGTAGCCCAATCGCTAAACTGAAACTTAGCATAGACGTCTTTATATTTCATTGGCAAAATATCTTGAAATTCCCTATTTAACACCGTAAAAAATTTTTCGTATAACCTGCTTGGATTACTTACATCAAAATTTTCTATACTTAATTTAGATGCTAATGAATCATTAAGTTTCTCTAAATTTTTATTTGTTATATGTCTAAACTTTATTTGAATTTTTTGAAGAGGCAAATAAGAGCTGTAAGTAACCACAAGACCACTGTGGTCAGAAGGTAAACTGTTTATAACTTTTTTTTCTAAATAGTTGCAGTTACTAAAAATGTTATCAATACATGTGGCTGTGGAGGGTGTTATCCTAGTCGGTTCTAGAAAAACATTTTTTAAATTAAATGATTCAAACAAATTTAATAGCTCCATGCCACTTGTATTGTTCTCCAATAAATTAATATTAAAATCGCCACATACAAGTACTGATTTATGGCTAGAACATACTTTTCTCAAAACATCTTCCATTACAGAATCAAACAATGCAAGATTCTGATAATTAGGTGGTCTATATACACAAACAACAACATGTCTATCCAGCTCAACACAGGACAACTCAATAGTGTGTTCAACTGACAGTGCTACAATATCTTTCCTTTCTTTGGACTTAATGCCATTTTTAACTAAAATTAAGGACCCGCCGTGTAACATATTCTTTCTACTAAAATTACTTATTACAGTATAATTTTCAAAATTGAAAGATATTAATTGGTCCTCTTTCAACCAATGTTCTGCTAAACAAACTATATCAAATTGTGTTTTCTCAAGAAACATTTCTATTTCAAATATTTTAGAGGAGCAGCCCTGAATATTAATATAAAATAAGATTAAATTGTGCTGCCCCTGAGCCTGTGTAACAACATTAGATATGAGTTTTTTTTTGCCAGAATATACCTTACTCCTAACATTATATATGATGGTATGTTCTGTTGTCTTAAAATCTAGTTTAAATCTATCACTGTGTTGTTAGGTAGCCTAGACAGCACAGCTTCGTCCCTAAAACTAATATCTGTTATATTTTTTATAACAGAGTTAATATTAAATGCTATTAGCATAGCAAGTGTACTACGATATGTTTTTGAGAGGGATATGCCTCTCTCTGTCAATCTAAAATCACTAATAAATTTATTAGTGTCAAAAAATATAAGTTTATCACTATGACAACATGTCAATTGGTGCAGTGTACTGTTAAGTACACCTAAATGTCTATTTTTGGAGTCTGTTAAGGTACTTGAATAGGGAAATGCACAAAGTATTATTTTTCCCAATTTTAATTTTAATAAAGTGTCCACACCGTTTAAAATGTCCCTTTTTTTTTACATCCAAACTGTTACCTACTATTAAAACTAATATTGATTTTTCATTATATTCAGTCTGAGTTATTTTTTCAATAATCTTATTGTAACTCAGACTATGATAACTATTGTTAATGTAATTATGGTCTAAGTGACCATATATCATGTTACCTAAACCAGATGTAAGCTGGTCCCCATATATTAATGCTTTATATTTTAAATTACTGCTATTACTACTACCAACAATTCTCTGTGGGTGTGCTACTATTGAGGAGGATTCAAAAGAAGGCCCAGGAGACTGAGGTTGGTTCATACAACTGCAGACAATATTATTTGTTAACGACTCATATCTCTCAGCGTTGTATTTCACCATGTCCATCAGCTCCCCAGCCTCAAGCAGGCGTTCGCTTAATTGCTGCTGGGATTCCTCATACCTCTCGAAAATATCCCTCAACATACCCTCTTTTATTGTTAAGTCACCCTGAAGGCTTCTTATATTATTATTATATATTTCCCTATTGCTATCCATTTGGGTAGTGCAAGATTGGAGATCTTTAACTAAATTAATTCTTTCTTTTCTAAGTCTTAGATTCACTTTTATTAAATTGTGTTTTTTAAGTGATCTTTGTGTTTTCCTTAAAAATTTATTAATTTTTATATATTTTTTAAGTTTATTGTGAGATTGAAAGGGACATCTATGCACGGTGTCATCACCAGTCAGGTCTATTGTAATTGGCTCTGGTTCCTCACACTGTAACCTACAGCCTACAAGTTCCTCATATAATGTGTGATTGCTTTGTTCAACATAATTTGTACACATACATTTCTGCGAAGAAGAAACTAAATTATGGGCATCACACAGTTCAGACTCTAATGCAGATATTCGTTTTAGCGCAGCTTCATGTGTGTCTCTGCACTCTTGAAATGTGGAGATGGTGTACTGCATCTGGTTGTGTTGATCTAATACATCCATATACTGGATGTGCAGTTCAGCAAGCTCATTCTTGAGGGATGTGTTTTTGTCAACTATAACTTTGACTTCAACCTCACTGTCATCCCGTTCTTGGAGCAATTGGCTGCACAGCTGTTTTGTTTTCTCCAGCTCTTTAAGTGTAGCCCGCAGTTTCTCTTCCAGGTCCTTAATGGTGGTAGCCCTCCGAGTCATCATTGTCTTAGTCTTAGGCTTATGTCCTTTATTTACTGAAAGGGTAAAAAGTTAGGTGTTAGCAATAATTGAAAATAGTTCTTGTATGTGAATAGTGGAGGTAGACCGAAAAAAAAAGGAGAAAAAAATAATAATAAAACAAAGTATTTAATATTAAAATTACAAAGAAAAGTTAGTTGAATTGGAAATGGAGATGGATTATAATATTATTACGACAGATTTGACTGTAATATAGCTAGTGATAGATTAAAATAACAGGTAGGGACAAAGTTTAAAATTAGTAGAAAAACGTAAATTAAAGGTTAGTACAGTAGTGGCCTAACATGTAATTGTGGAGTCAGTTATGTAGTTTTTATTGTCTGGGCTAATGTTTTCGTCGTCGATTCTGCTTCCACTTATCGTCAAGCAAAAGGAGACATAAACTGTGCCGGTGTGTACGGGACGTTACTCAAAGACTTGAGTAGAGTAAACTTGTCAGTGTTGTTTAAAATTCAATTATATAGCGACACAATATTATTAACTACTTAATTCTAACACAATAAAAATGAAGATAAAAACAAATACTCCCCCGGTTTTATGATTTTGAATCCACCGTTCGTCGTAGTTCCTTTGTTTGACAGGTTGCCGGTAAATATCACAATGTATATGTGTAATTACGCAGTAAAAACACTTCACATACACTCAACACAATACTTATTACTATATTTATTGAATTTACAATAAATTAGGCTAATTTGATTACTTAAATTATTTAATTATATTAAAAATGTTGGGAGGCCGTTTTTATTACGACCGGATCGCAGTGTTGCCAGAGCAAAAAAACGTTCTTTTAGTAATGTTTTTTATTTTTTATCATCGCAGTATATCGTCCGGTATGTTGGGAACTCTGCGCGAAGTCGGGGACGCTCCCAAGAAACGTAACAACGATATCACATACTTCGTGGCGAAGGAGTTACTGATGACCGAGAGAACTTACAAGAGGGATCTCGAACTTGTTACTGTTGTAAGTATTATTTATAAAAAAATTGGTGTTATGGATAACAAGACAAATTATCACCTGACTTGTTTTATCCAGCAACATGTCGCGGGCTTAATTCCAGCACGGAACAACTCTTTTTGTGATCCACAAATCGTTGTTTCAGGCATAGGAGAAAATCCTAATATACATCATATATAAGTAATATATGCTATCAGCGCCGTTCGTGGATCCTGGCAACATCAGAGAATTGTAATTTTATAAGTTGTCCAACATTTTAACTTTTACCGTAAAGTCTACAAGGGGTTTTATTTGCGATCGATCTGCGAACAAATTTAATACCTGGACATGTTTAATGTAGAGTGTACTCATACACATACTTATTTTCTATGATTTCGTGTAATTTTTGTAAGACTAAAGTCATTATTTTGATGTATAGAAATGGAGTAGCAGTGTATCGGAGTTAGCGGCAGGCGGCGCGGAAGCTGGGTCAGCGTTAGCGCGCGCCTGCCTCGCGCTGGAGCCGCTCGCGCTTAGCAACGGAAAACTACTCGCGAGGCTCGACAGGCTACTGGCTAATGCACCACGACCTGATGCTAATGGTAAGTACCTCAAACATGTTGGCGTTTGCGCCGTTTTTTTTATGGGAGGCAAATATTCGTTACATTTTTCTTATACATCCTATTAAGTGAACAAATATGAACTTAACTAAAAGCCATGTCGAAAAGCCTTTAAAGTATACCTGGTTTAAGTGCGAAAAATTTTAGGCTGAAGATGATTCGTTACAACTTTGACAAAGGTCTTATATCAAACGTGTGATATTAATGTCAACATTTTGTTCACAGACACGGAAGAACCTGAGTATAAAAAAATCGACGATGTCTTATACGAACATTTATTAAGTACAATGGATGTGAGTACTCGAATCTTTATTATTTTTCTGTATTTGCGCAAAATATTTTTCATTGCGCAAAGGTTTTGCGCAAAATATTTTCACTGCGCAAACATTTTGTGCTAAGTTTTTGACCTGTTATAATGATATTGTTTGTACTTTAGGCGTACCTATGGTACAGTTCTCGCGCTGGCTCGTTAGTTGGTGTTGTGGAGAGCGTGCGACGGAGAGGGAATGACGCGGGTCGCGCCGCCGCCTTGTTTGACTCGAAGGCGCCGATACCACTGGCTGCGTTGCTACTAAGGCCGCTGCATAGAGCGCTGCATTATCACCGACTTGCTGAAGGTATGTGTTGATTGGAAAAGATATGAAAATAATCATTCGCATTTAGTAGTGACAAACTTCTTAGCGCCATAAGACACACACGAAAAGTATTTGGATGAGTAGTATGTTAAGCATCGTGGTATTGTTTGTAGAGCTATACGCGAGCAACCCGAGCGCGAGTGCGTGCGGCGCTCGCGAGCTGAGCGCCCGGCTCGACAGCGCGGCGCGCGCGCAACTGCAGCACGGGGAGAACCACGCCGCGCTCTGTCAGCTGCAGCGGGACCTCGCTGGTAGGTTACACTCACTTACACTATACGCGAGCTGAGCGCGGGGAGAACCACGCCGCGCTCTGTCAGCTGCAGCGGGACCTCGCTGGTAGGTTACACTCACTTACACTATACGCGAGCTGAGCGCGGGGAGAACCACGCCGCGCTCTGTCAGCTGCAGCGGGACCTCGCTGGTAGGTTACACTCACTTACACTATACGCGAGCTGAGCGCGGGGGAGAACCACGCCGCGCTCTGTCAGCTGCAGCGGGACCTCGCTGGTAGGTTACACTCACTTACACTATACGCGAGCTGAGCGCGGGGAGAACCACGCCGCGCTCTGTCAGCTGCAGCGGGACCTCGCTGGTAGGTTACACTCACTTACACTATACGCGAGCTGAGCGCGGGGAGAACCACGCCGCGCTCTGTCAGCTGCAGCGGGACCTCGCTGGTAGGTTACACTCACTTACACTATACGCGAGCTGAGCGCGGGGAGAACCACGCCGCGCTCTGTCAGCTGCAGCGGGACCTCGCTGGTAGGTTACACTCACTTACACTATACGCGAGCTGAGCGCGGGGAGAACCACGCCGCGCTCTGTCAGCTGCAGCGGGACCTCGCTGGTAGGTTACACTCACTTACACTATACGCGAGCTGAGCGCGGGGAGAACCACGCCGCGCTCTGTCAGCTGCAGCGGGACCTCGCTGGTAGGTTACACTCACTTACACTATACGCGAGCTGAGCGCGGGGAGAACCACGCCGCGCTCTGTCAGCTGCAGCGGGACCTCGCTGGTAGGTACACTCACTTACACTATACGCGAGCTGAGCGCGGGGAGAACCACGCCGCGCTCTGTCAGCTGCAGCGGGACCTCGCTGGTAGGTTACACTCACTTACACTATACGCGAGCTGAGCGCGGGGAGAACCACGCCGCGCTCTGTCAGCTGCAGCGGGACCTCGCTGGTAGGTTACACTCACTTACACTATACGCGAGCTGAGCGCGGGGAGAACCACGCCGCGCTCTGTCAGCTGCAGCGGGACCTCGCTGGTAGGTTACACTCACTTACACTATACGCGAGCTGAGCGCGGGGAGAACACGCCGCGCTCTGTCAGCTGCAGCGGGACCTCGCTGGTAGGTTACACTCACTTACACTATACGCGAGCTGAGCGCGGGGAGAACCACGCCGCGCTCTGTCAGCTGCAGCGGGACCTCGCTGGTAGGTTTACACTCACTTACACTATACGCGAGCTGAGCGCGGGGAGAACCACGCCGCGCTCTGTCAGCTGCAGCGGGACCTCGCTGGTAGGTTACACTCACTTACACTATACGCGAGCTGAGCGCGGGGAGAACCACGCCGCGCTCTGTCAGCTGCAGCGGGACCTCGCTGGTAGGTTACACTCACTTACACTATACGCGAGCTGAGCGCGGGGAGAACCACGCCGCGCTCTGTCAGCTGCAGCGGGACCTCGCTGGTAGGTTACACTCACTTACACTATACGCGAGCTGAGCGCGGGGAGAACCACGCCGCGCTCTGTCAGCTGCAGCGGGACCTCGCTGGTAGGTTACACTCACTTACACTATACGCGAGCTGAGCGCGGGGAGAACCACGCCGCGCTCTGTCAGCTGCAGCGGGACCTCGCTGGTAGGTTACACTCACTTACACTATACGCGAGCTGAGCGCGGGGAGAACCACGCCGCGCTCTGTCAGCTGCAGCGGGGACCTCGCTGGTAGGTTACACTCACTTACACTATACGCGAGCTGAGCGCGGGGAGAACCACGCCGCGCTCTGTCAGCTGCAGCGGGACCTCGCTGGTAGGTTACACTCACTTACACTATACGCGAGCTGAGCGCGGGAGAGAACCACGCCGCGCTCTGTCAGCTGCAGCGGGACCTCGCTGGTAGGTTACACTCACTTACACTATACGCGAGCTGAGCGCGGGGGAGAACCACGCCGCGCTCTGTCAGCTGCAGCGGGACCTCGCTGGTAGGTTACACTCACTTACACTATACGCGAGCTGAGCGCGGGGAGAACCACGCCGCGCTCTGTCAGCTGCAGCGGGACCTCGCTGGTAGGTTACACTCACTTACACTATACGCGAGCTGAGCGCGGGGAGAACCACGCCGCGCTCTGTCAGCTGCAGCGGGACCTCGCTGGTAGGTTACACTCACTTACACTATACGCGAGCTGAGCGCGGGGAGAACCACGCCGAGTAGAGTAGCGCAAGTTCATTTCTTAATAAACAAGAGTAGCGCAAGTTCATTTCTTAATAAACAAGAGTAGCGCAAGTTCATTTCTTAATAAACAAGAGTAGCGCAAGTTCATTTCTTAATACACAAGAGTAGCACAAGAAGAGACTAAGTAATAAAAAAGGAGGTTTTTTATGCTCACAGGTTGTAGCCATTGTTTCATCTTTCTCATTTGTTAAACATTGGGACACTATACCCCATTCGCACGACAAAACACAACTCAAGCTTGTCGTAAAACGATTACTAACTTACTCACTAAAATATGTTATTTTTGATACAGGTTACGACAAGTTATTGGTGGCGGAGCGCGAGTTTATAAGAATGGGCTGCGTGTACAAACATTCGTCCAGAGGACTACAACAAAGGATGCTGTTTTTGGTAAATTGATCTTTATTTCTATACCACATAGGACTCATAAAAATCCGTTAAATGTAGAATATTTTCCCTGGTTTACATGATAATGTGACTACGGAATAATCGGTTTCGGGTCCATCCCCCAATCGATTAAAAATCAGTAAAGTATCTGAAGTAATTTGCCGCAACACCGGCTGAACATGAGTCTTATGGGTTGGGTCTGTGGTGGTCTATTGGCTTTTTTTGGTTCTAGTTCCATTCTGGATACGTTCTAGTCTGGCGACGAGGTACCGGCTCCCATATAAATGAAGCTTGGATGGTCAAATATAATAAGTATTGATATTATTTCAGTTCAGTGACGTGCTAGTGGTGACGTCAAAGACGGGCAGTACGCAGTTCCGTGCGCACTCCGCGCTGGCCCTGCACGCACTCGAACTCAAGTCCTCAGAGTTACCGCACTCGTTTTCGCTTACCGGTATGTCTTATGTTGCTCTGTTGATAATATGGTTGCTGATCGGTCGAGTTGAATATTTTTATCTAAACGTCGCGTTGGAAATAATGTTTTTGTATAGATTTTGAATGAGACACAGATTTGTAACGTCATACTTTAACGTCAAATATAATATAAATTTTAAAAAATATATAGAAAAGTAAAAAAAAGAAAAATACAGTCGAACTAAGAATTTTCGAATATTTTATTTTATTTAAAATTTGTAATAATTTTATTTTTGACTGAAAATGATAGCGTGTTATTGTAGCATGTCGATATTAAAGATATCAATCGGAGTATTTAAACAATATATTTTTGTAATGATCAAAGATTGCGCAAGTGATTGCAGCCGGAATAATAATTATGTATGTGATCTAATTTTCTATGTCTGTGGGTTTAATGTGTATTTGAGCAAATGGATTTAAAACATACTCATAATAATAAGAAAAAATGTGTTGTTTTTTTACAGGCGAGGATATAAACCTACTTCTAAGTGCGACGAACGACAACGAATACACGGGATGGTACAGCGCTCTGTCAAGTGCGATAGAAAACGCACGCGACAAGTTTACTGATGTCGATACTGAACTCACGCCTTATGAACAAGAGACTGGTACGTTTACTTTGTTTTATACTTTAACTTTTTCCACGAACTAAATATTCAGTCTAAATTTATAGTGTATTATATAAAATTAAATCTCAAAATGTGTTAGTAAGAGCATTACTTAACAACGCCGAACCAATTTGTCAATTATTTTTTGTTGTGTTTATTATTGTCATTTAATTTTTGGCTAATAGCCATCGTTTTGATACCGAGGCAGTTCGTTAACAAAACAAATGGCTGATGCCAAGGTAGATCTAAATACAGTGGCTACGCGCACGCTGCTCAAGTATAACAGTCCCGTAGTTACTTGAAACTAGTAGAGCTATTCCCAGTAAATTCGCGCGAGACGTTATCTTTAGTAAATTTAGTATATTTACTTAGTTTTATGGCATTTTTGACAGTTTTGGGGGAAAGACTAGTTCAATTGCGTCATTTTACAACCTAGTAGCGCAATACGGTAGTTTTCAACCAATCAAATTCAACAAACTTTTATTGTAATATCAAAACCGATACTTTTCTATGAGTTTCATATGAGATCGCAACATTATATTCTCAGTTTAAATACCGCACACTTATTTTTGAAAAAATGGGTATATGTACCTATACCTATGAAGTAAATAAATTAAGCAAATGTTGATATCAATTTAGTAAAGTATTTAAATAATTCATTGTATTGAAAGTTTAAAATAATTTATTTACAAACTTTGCAAAGCCAGGATTAGTAGCTCGATTGATACGTAAATGTCCATGTTTGTGTTGCAGAATGTCCCAGCGCAGCGAGCAGTGCGGGGGGCGGACTGGCGCATGTATGCTGGCACCGGTTCACCTCTCTCGATACCCTACATCTACATCTCGCTATGCGGGTAAGCCATTTCACATATTTATGGTATTTTTTTCATAACTTTTCGACAGTTAAATGGTACGTTTACACGCTTGTCAAGTCTCGACGAGTATCCACAAAAACAAGCGTGTGAACAGGGTGTTTGGCGTGGCTTGCAAGAGCTCGTCAACGATCCGGTCCGTTGACGGTTTTTGGATACATATGAAAGGAATTTTGTGACAAGCAGTTGTGACGTTTTGACACGTTAAAGTTTAGGGCTTGTAGAGGTTTTGCCTAGTCTTGGCAAGCGTGTAAAAGATACCATGAAAGTTCCTAAATATGTATGAATGATCGTTTTTATCGGCGTGTAGGGATTGCTTCCATTATAATATGTTTTTTTTTCAATCCAAATCAACTCTTGAAGTTTTATATGTTACCCATACAAAAAAGAATGGCAAGTTTCAATTAAACATAATTAATCGGTTTGTTTTAGACGCAGTTATCTGGCTACCTACTGCGCAAGTTCAAGAAGTCCCCGGGCTGGCAGAAGCTGTGGGTGGTGTTCGCGATATCCACTCTATTCTTCTACAAGTCCTGGCAGGACGAAACGCCCCTCGCGTCGCTACCTTTGTTAGGGTAAGTTGATTCATAGTAATTTTATGTTTTATAGCATTAGTATGTAGATAAATTGCTTAGTATGTCTAATAGTATTCTTTTATTTGCCGGCTATTCGTGTCGTTATATACGAGATTGCAAGTGAAGTGGCGTTGAAAAAAAAATGCTCGTATAAAATTAATAAAAACCAATTATGCGTTCCCAAGTATAATTTGAACTTACCGATCCGCCCAGAGCAAATGGACGTAACGTTAGTGCCTAAACCTTCCTTTGAGAACTTTGGTCAACAGTGAGCACTTATAGGCTGATAGTGTATTGAGATGTGTGTGGAACAAGTGTCTAAATATATAATTTTGTTTGTGTACAGTTACAGCGTAGGTGCTCCGACATCGGAAGACAATATCGACAAAGACTTTGTGTTCAAACTTCAATTCAAGAACCACGTGTACTTCTTCAGAGCCGACAGCCAGTACACGTTTAATAGGTAAGATAACAAAATTAAAGAATTATATAAGAGAATTATGAAGAAAGATACAAGTGTGGTAGAGCCATGCTTCGGCACGAATTGGTCTGCTCGACCTGAGTGATAACACGTCCTCACAGAAAACCGGCGTGAAACAATCACAACGTTAGGTTTCGCCGTGTGAGAGCGGTTACCGGAGGTGCAATCCTTCCCTTCCAAACCCTGCGCTCTCATTCTTCTCTCTTCTTCTCATTCACGTATCTCAACCGTTGTTGCGGGTGTCCATGGTCAGCGCTGATTGCTTACCATCAGACAAACCGACTGCTAGTTTGCCAATCTATAATAAAACAAAATCTATGACCAAACTACAATATAAGATTTTTTTCCAGATGGACTGAAGTTCTACAAACTGCGACGATGCGACCCGAACATAATTAATGATAAATAATAAATTAGATAAATTAATAATTCTAAAGTGTTATCGATATATTGGTGCCATATATATGGCCACAATTATTTTTGTACGAACTTTATGAAGTGAATCTTGCCTGTATTTATTGTGTGAGTCGCTTTAGTATAAGACCAAGACTGACGGATCAAAGACGTTTATGCATTGTAGTCGTAATGTTAGGTGGCTAATGTTATATTCAGTTGTATTGTTAAAGATTTACAGGACGTTACATAGTAAGGTCTAAATTATTAAGCGATTAGTTAATTTACAGCTCCGTAGATATTCCAAAACATGTTGAAAATGTCGTACTCATATTTAGTGATTAGTCCAAGTTTCGAAGGTGCGCAAAACTAGCGCAACTTGTTTGCGCCTTTTGCGCAAGTTCTTTGTGCCTTTTGCGCAAGTTCTTTCACGATCGTGCCTTTAATTCACAAATGTAAATATACCCATCGAGGAAACTATTTTTAACGCGATATTTATTGTGATGATATATGCATACTTTGATTTTAATAAGAGATTGTAAAAACTATTTGTTGCTAGTTTTTCAGTTTCATTAACCAAATCTTACTCTGTATTGGTTTTATCATTACATATGTGTAGCTGTCACACATTAGATCGTAAGATAAAAACCGATTGTATAAGAACTGTGTTGATATTATCGATATTATAAAAAAGTAAACCTATTCAAAGTTATAATATAGTCTTAAATATTTTTAGAAGAATTGTGACATATTCATGTTATGGATAGCAGGGAAATGGTTGTATAAGAAATACAGAATGGTGATTTAAATAGTACATTATAACATTAAAAAATCGATTTCCGACTCAACATGACAGCGTGACGTAACCACGACGCGCACGCTACTTATGAATAAGATCCCGTTGTGACTTGAAACTAGGCCTTAAGGCCTTCTATTTTTAATTCCTTTAGTATGTCCCCCGACAGTTACAATACAAAAATAATTAAGAAAAAAACCTAATGCGAAAAACGATCCTGTCGAAATATATAGGCCTATACTAGCTTCGTTAAAACAAATAATATATAATCAATAGATACGATAGTCGTATAAGGACTGATTTTTCAATGGTCAAATAAAAGTTACCTAGGGAATAATTATAATGCTGTCGCGTCAGAATGTTTGTATAAGACAGTGACAGCAACAATTTTATTCCTCAGATAACATTTATCTGACTATTGAAAAATCAGCCCTAAATTAATTAACTATTTAATACATCGAGTGAGTGGAGGGTCCAAAACTAGAGCTTTGTAAGTAGAAAAAGTACTTTTTATGTATGTTTAAAATCATTTCCAAAATGTTTGTCGGCTGTGTAGGATAATATAAGTAATGAGTTCAATTTTAAGGTCAGTGCTTGACTATAAGCAATAAAACATCACAGGTAAATTAATGTATAGTTTGTAAGTGCGTGTGTGTGGATGTTGTATGAGTGTCTCCGGCACATCAAGCTTTATTGTCAAGTTGATAAGGTTGAAATTATATTGGAGACGGTCTGGGGCACATCAAGGGATATTTTGTGAATGTGCTGGGGTCCGCATCAGTAAATTGTATAATAAGAGCGATTGATGTCATCATCAAACGTAGCTAACGGTATAAATGATACAATGAATGAATGAACTGTACGATTCCAACGAATGACAAGTGAATGAAACGAATGATGCAATTCCGGATTGAAATCTCATTGTTCTCCCGTTATAAAAATAATTTTTGTTAATATTTTTTTTGGAATTCCAAAGTAATTTGTTTGTATGTAATTAACATGTATGATGTTAATGGAATTATATTTCGAGTGCTATTTAAGTGTGAATATTCCCAAAGCTTTTTATTTATAGATTTATTTATTAAGCAAACGGTTTATGAAATTAATATAATGTATGAAGATATATTTTTGAGTAAAATCACATTTGAATCATGTTTCCTACATAATTAAATTATTTAGAGCAGACGCATATTCAAAATTTTATATATTAGCAATAAATAAAATCATCCAAGTTCATTCGAAGTTTTATTTCATATGTCATAGAGTTCATTTTAAAATATTTGTTCGAAATTACTTACATTTAGTTTGGCTTTGGCAACATCGAAGTTTCTAGACAGTAAATCTACTAACATACGTAGTCAGATCTTATATTAAATACATTAAAATGTCTACTTAGTAAGCTTTTAGTAAAATGCATTTGAGATCATGCAGATTCTTTGGCATTGTCTGTTCTACTGTAACACGGTGGCACATTCAATCCTATACATATTCGAATTAAAGTAAAATGCTGTTCAATATCCTTATAACTAAATCTATAAAGCAGTCACAACTAATGGACTCTTGCGCCTTACAAATGGAAAAAGGTTAGAATCCAGAATATTCTACGATAAAAAATAAATTGTAAGGCGTCCGCCTCCTCAAAAACTCTTCGCACAAATCTCAGAGCCAATCGGTTTGGTCCCAGTCTCTGAGTCCAATAGTTCTGACCGACTATACAAAAACTATCTTACAATATTTACATGAAACGCTTAGCGCTCGAAAAACAATACACTTCATAATAAAATAGGTTTACAATACATTTTGTGCTTTCCGCAATAAATAATAAAGTCTAATACAGATTAAAATGTCGCGAGTAAAAGTATAATAGTTTAAAAATAAATAATGTCATTTGTAGTATTAATAAATAGTATCTAAAAAGATTATGTACAAAACGAATCATTCCTACAAAATAAAGTAAGTATTCTTCAAACATTTTGCGCATAGTTCGTGACAGCCTTTAGCCAGCGTTTATTGTACGGTATAGCTGCTTATCAGTCATGATGACCATATAACAAAGGAAGACCAGCTGTGGAAAAGCCCTGTAGGGGCGATTCTCAAAAATCAAAATAGTAATATTAAAAGGAAACTTAATTCATTCTGTATAAGACATAATAGAAAATAATTTAGGCAATGTCAATTCTAGAAATAGGGTCATCACATTTAGTTACATCCTAGTCGATACTGCATCTCCGTTCTCCTTGCTTTCTCCATCTAGTTGCTCTTTGCTGCGTTTCTCTTTGTTTCTACTCTTGAATATTGAGGCATTTGTGATAGATCGTATGCGGAAAGACCCAGGTGTTCCGTTACCAATGGACGCACCCGAGCCTTCGTGCGGTTGTTCTCGAATGTTTGGCGATCTATCCCTAGGTCGGGTTCTCGATGAGAAGCTTGCAGCTTTTAGTCGAGCTCCTGTAGGAAAATTAATGGTAAGTAAGAATTATCTTCCTTTTAAATAACTCATTATGCCTTACTTTGAAAATGAGGTTTTTTAGTTTCTTTCTAGGTCTTTTTAGCATGGACTCTCAAGTATTACCTACTCTCAAGAAATTATTGTAAGATTTTTATGCGAAGTGCCTATTTTGCCCGGCTTCTTACTTTTTTAATGGCCAAATTCTTTTACTAAGTATAATAGTCAAACATAGACAAAATAATAATAATGTCGTGGTGGCCCGGAGGTTAAGGGGCCCGCTCCTCATGCATGAGAATGGGTGTAGGTTCAAAACCTGGCAAGTACCAATGTGACTTTTTCCAACTTATATATGTACTTTCTAAGATTATTTAGACACCACTGACATACAGTGAAGGTAACCATCGTGAGGAAACCTGGACTTATAATTTCTAATTATAAGTTTGAAATCGCCAACCCGCATTGAGCAAGCGTGGTGATTAATGCTCTAACCTTCTCTGTATGAGAAAAGACCTTTGCTCAGCAGTGGGCACTTATAGGCTGATGATGATGATGACGATGATGAGACAAAAGAATAATGACCAGTACCTACATATATTAGGTATCCCTCATCAGGTAAAACAAATACGGATTGACTGATTTTTATATGATCTGGCACGTACCTAATCCCAGCTTAGTCTGTTTATCCCGTGGTGGCAGCGAATGCGGTGTATGTGGGTCGTGGGGCCCGTGTGGGTGCGCCGCGCCCGTCGGCGTGTGCGGGGCCGACAGTGACGCCGGTGGCGCCACCGACATGTCCACTCGACGTACCACTAGGCTACTTGAATGAGGCCTGATTGCCCCCAGCTCCAACTCGTTGCCAGTTCTGTGAAGAAAGATGGAAGTGGTAAAAATAAATATTCTAGATGTATGCCATGACTATGACTGTCTCTAATTTATTTTAAATACTTAATAAATATTAGTAAAAAGAAGTTCTACATATAAATCATTTTTTACAACTAACGCAGAGGTTATTTCACTTTTTGTATTTTATGATGTTGTTGTCGCATGGTTCCACCCTCTGCTCGGCTTCTATTGGTTTTAGGATGATGTTTTATAGCCAATATCCAGCCAGGAATATTGTAGCTATCTATCAGTTAGAAAATTTTGGAAATCCAATAGTTATTTCAAAAATTACCCCCTACATACCTACCTCTTTAAAATATTAGTAGGTATAGATTAGGTACTGAAATTGAATTAAATGTTCAAGTAATTTGAGCATGCTTTAAGACTAGGTACCATTAGGTATACTTAGTGCCTACGTTTTTATCGAATGATATAGGTACATATTGATGTAATGGTACTACTTACGACCTTGCATGTCTTGTCCGTGCTCTTCGTAGCTCTGAGCGTCTGGCTGATCCTCCTGGAGCCGTGTCTGCCCGACTTGTCCGCACACTACCGCCACGTTTCGCTGTAATACAAATTTGTAAAGTTTACCACAACGCAGGCCGTTTGAGTCGCGGGGAGCTAATGGATGTAAATAGCGAGTTGTCGTTCGACGTGAAGGATTATGGGGAGTTCTTTGTTTAGTTGTGGTCGTCTTCAGGCTGACTATAGATACAAGTGTTTTACCACTTCTATGGTTAGCACTAGAAATCTGCACAGATTCTGCCAATGTGAATATTTGGTGGGACTTTGAAGAATAATACATGCTAACAAAAGTTACCTAATAAAATTCACGGTTAGGATTTTTGATATCCTTGGTATCCTAAAATAGATGGTGTCATATTTAAATTCGCATTCCCATTACAAAAGGGGTTAATAAAAGAAGCTACCAAAATACCAAGACTTTTCTTTCGAATCCCATCTTCTGAGTGACTTAGTCTTTCTAAACTTAGTCTTTTCTACTCACACATAGCAGCAGTGTCAAGTGGATGCGTGTATATCCTCTTGCGAGCCTGCAGCATGGTGTAGACGAGGGCGGCCAGCGAGCGCGGGGGTGCGGGCGCCGCGGGGGAGGGGCGCGCGGGTGCCGGCGCGCCGCGTGTCCTCGTCACCCACCATGTCTCCATACGACCCTTGCCCTTCACTTCCACCGCGCCACGACGCTCCAACGCATAGCCGCGGAGCTCTAATAGCTGTAAGTCATAACCAATGATCAGTACTAATAGAAATCGTTCGTTCGTAATCGTTTTCAATGAAAAATTACATAAAACTAGCGGTCGCCCGCAACTCCACAGGCGTGGATGTCGATTTTGCACTTTCTCAAGATTTTGTTAAATGTTCTCTACGTGCAAACCTGGACTTCCAGGAATAATTCAAGACCAAAAATTAGTGAAATCGGTAAAGGCATTGTTGAGTTCTGACGGTGAGTCATTACAACGAAAAGTGAATTGTGAAATATTTATATAAGTATACACATAGTAGCATAAATGTTTTTGCAGCGTTACGATATTGTAGGAGAAAATCAAAAAGCGAGGCAAAGTTATTTAAAAAAAATAAGTTATGAAGTCAATATGATAAATCTTGTTTTTATAAGATTGATAAAAGTACTGGCACCAATAGGTATGTTCAAAAATGGATCTTCAATGATCATGAGAGACGCAAATAGTTTTACTAATCAGCAGACATTAGGTTTCCGTAATACTCCAGCACATTTAGTTCAGCAGCAAGAAACATTTTGGACAACTGGTTTATTGTTTTTACGTTCATTATATTTTACTTTTTACCTGCTTAGTATACTTGGTGACTTGTATCTTGTCCATGGCGCCTGTTGTCTCCATCCGCGACGCCTCATTGACGGTGTTGCCCCAGATGTCATACACCGGCTTCCGAGCGCCTATCACTCCACCCACCAGGGGACCGCAACTTATACCTGGCACAAAACCACATTTAATGAATATTTGATAACAGTACGCAATCATTGAAATTGAAAATCGTTTTTAAAGTAAATACTACCTAATTATAATTTGGTATTTTTCCATGTACCTAAGCATCATATTGATCTTAATTGATTTTTTTATATGAAAATAGGAGTATTGGCATTTGATACATATACAGGTTTTAATAGTTGAGAAGGCAATCATAGAAGATTGAATAGCTGACGATCGATATATGGATCGTCCTCCATTTTTCTCGGGAGCTCGAATGCAATGGACGTGTTTTAATTTAGCATTGTAACATTTGGCTTGACTGTTTTTTTAATTAGTTGCAGGACGTTCTGACTTTTTTCTTTAAAAGTTAAATACGCGTATGATCCTTAAGAGTAGATAATTAAACACTTAATATTATAATTTTATTTTTATTGCCCCACTTTAGAATTTTCTTCTGTGTTGTGGGTGCGTTTACAAACATACAATGTCACATACACATCACACCCAGACCCGAAACAACAATTTGTGAATCTCACAAAGTGTTGTTCCGTGCGGGAATCGAACCCGCGACACGTTGCACGGCAGCCAGTTGCCCAGCCACCGCACCAACCGTGCAGTTTATTATAACAGAAGTATTTAAATCTTACCAACTCTTAATCGGAACTTGTAGAAGCTATGTTTGCTGATGTCTTCAAGAGCTTCTCTTAAAGCGAAAGCATAGTCGACCAGCGCGCACAGATGTTCACAGTTGTCCTCGCCGGTCTAAAAAGAAAAAAGGAATTAATTGAATTAATAATAATAATATATAAAAAATCTTGTTAATATTAAATGTAAAGAAAAATCAACCTTACCTTATTGTGATTAGGGTTGAGTCCAGAGGCAGCCATATAGGTAGCTGCGATGGTCTTGATCTTCTCAATACTTTTGAAACGTTGCTGCATCAGCAACTTATCAAAGTCAACTGCAAGGAAACGCACTCGTTAGCAAGATGTGAAGATAAGAACGAATGAGAAAAGTAAAAGCAAAATAATGTTAAAAGTTGTGAAAGACAGTATTATAAGAAAGTAAGAATCTTATCTATCTAAAATAGCCATTTTCTTCGCAATCTTTCCCTTTAGGACACAAAAAGTCTATAAGTACCCAAGAAACTAGGAAAATTGTGACTTAGGTATCATTATAAGCAACAGATGGCGGGACCCATGGAAATCGGAAATGTTTGTAATTTTTTAGGACGACTAGTCTGTGTTTATTCTTTTGAAGTCACTGCTTCATAAAGAACGATATACTTCATTTAAATACGTCGCGTTGGTTAATGTTATAGAAACAAGGAGGATAAGAAAATGAGTTCGGTTGGTACATTACAAATGATCTCGTTGAGAACTCGCATGCACTCCACAGCCTTCTCTTCGGAGTAGAACTCGTCAAAGTTGGGGATGCCGGCGAACATGACGCCCACCTCATCGCGCCACTGGGAATATAGCTCCTGGAAATAATCACTACATGGTATAAACAACGTCGCTTTTTCTGTAACTACAAACTATATAGAATGCTCTCTTAAAAAATATGCAACGTATTTTGATGCAGTTTTGTTTAATAGATACAGTGATTGAAGAGAAAGGTTTATATGTATAATAACATCTATTAAATTGTGGAGAAGTTTAGTATCAGCATGGTCCCCGTACGAAGTATGGCGGGCTATTAATATATTCGCTATTAAGATATATAGAATCAAGTATGTTATGACGCTTATGAAAGAGGAGTTTTGGTACAATTTGTTTTAACTAACGATTTAGATTCTAAGACATAGATTTGATAATATCTTGACAATGTCAACTTTAGCTATATAAAGGTTTCTTTTAAACCTTTATTCCAAGTTAACCATATATAGGTACTTTTACATTATCAAAATAGAATAATAGTATGTTAGTGGTTCGTTACTGAGGCTAGGTACTCGTTCCAAAGTGTTGATTCGAACGAAGAAGAAGAGTAAGAAGCTTCATAAGTTTAATTTCATTTGCAATTTGGCCACACTTACATCCGGACACCAATCTCTACTCAAGAAGTGTACAACGACGTGATCCGGCAGGATATGTTTAAGGAGATGTCTGTTCGTTTTCTGCGTATCTTCCATTTCATCCAGGTCCGTCTCCGCCTGCAGTTTCCATATGAAGTCGAGTCGTGACGTGACTTCCACCAACCGCCCGTGGTATATCACCACTACAAGGAACACTGCCATCAAGATCAGCATTTGTACGTAGGCTGGTAACGTGCTGAAAGAAGAAAAATAAAAAAAAGAATAAAAATATCATCTATAACCCTTTCTGAAGCAGAAAAACAAGGGTGGGTTTTTTATTTCAGAAACGTCTTGTTTTTTCTTGTTATGGATGTAATGTTGATGCGCACTTATGTACAATACGTATTTCAATTTGATAGCTAAGTAGATTTATTTCATATAACTAGCTTTTGTCCGCGACTTTGTTCGCGTTAAATAGTGATTGCCTGCAGAGTTTTGTTTAAAAACTATCCTAAGTCCTTTCTCGAGTTCCAAACGATGTCTGTATGTACCAAATTTCACACAAATAGGTTCAGTAGTTTAGGCAAGAAGAAAAGACAGACAGACAGAGTTACTTTCGCATTTAAAATATGATGAATTTGTAAATCACACAACTAATTGATCCGCGCCTGGGTGTTTTGTAGGTATGTGAACTTGTATGTTTTGAAGAGCAGACGCAGATAAAAATGAAATATAAGACAGTTTCATAAAAAAAAACTAAGTAAAATATTTGCATACTCATGATCGTCACCTAAAGAAATAAATAAAAATACTTACGTGTGCGTGCTTTGGTTATAGTTCTTGTAGTTGTAGAACCGGAGTAGCAGGATGCAGTACATCAAGACGTTGACGGTGGCCAGCAGAGTCTTGATCAAGTAGTACAGCTTCAGGACTGAGGTCAGCGCCACCAGGCACAGCACCCACGTGAACACCACGTACTCCGGTCGGTAGCACTCATCTATGGAGTATAGACATCATTATTGATAATTCATTAATTGAATATTCCTTATACAAAATTATTTAAAGCATTTTGTATTTGCTGTAGTGATTGGAATTCTAATTGAGCTTCTTTTTTTGTAATTGTAATTAGTATTGTACTATGTCGTCAAAGTACAAGGCCTTTTGGGGCCTTGAGGAGAAGGATTGAGCCACCGGTAACCTTATTCACACGGCGAAACACAACGCTGTGGTTGTTTCACGCCCGTTTTCTATAAAGCCGTGGCTGCGGTACCACTCAAGTCGAGACGACCTGTTTGTGCCGAAACGTTGCTCTCCCACACAATAATGAAGTAATCTTTTATCCAAAGGATGCAGCAGATTGATAATAAGTGATTAGAGCCAATGAGGATGGCCTTAGCAAGGTACTTATTACCACTATAATATTATCAAAGAAAAACTTGTGTGAACTGACCGGGATCTTTCAATTCGGTGGCAAGGATGTCTGTTATGTTGCACGATACATTCGTGGTAGCTGCGTCGATCACCGATTCGGGAACAAATGACGGCGGGCACACGTACAGTTTTATTGTGCTGTAAGAATAGCATTTATTTTACATAAGTGCTTCAGTCCCTTTAAGTTTTCAATCAACTTACCTATTCAATAGGTAAATATTATAAGGTAAAACCAACTCTTGGTATCATACTATTTGATAACTTTCACAATGGAACAATGAAAACATTAATATGCATAACTATAGGTATTTCGAAATTTCCTAATACATACTATACCAATAATTGGTTTTATCTTAAAGTACCTAACCAATGGATCAATGAAAACGTTAACATATAAATTTTTGGAAATCGGTCTTAAGGCCCGAAGCGGAATAGAAAAAAAACAATTTTTTATTTGTTTTTTTTTGTACCTAACTAATTGGGACTCTCTGGAGTTCAGATATATTTCAACTTATTATTTTATTATTATTTATTAACTTTTATAGTTGAAATCTAGAGGCTTCCGTGAATCAGATACCGAACGATTTGGATTTCAGCATGGAACCATACTAAGTGTGATCCACAAATTATTATTTTGGGTCTGGGTGGCTTGTGTATGTGAATTTGTACGTTTATTTGAACCCATTACTCACTAGAAAATACTACTGTGGAGATATGTGACGAACTGTCACTGTCTGACATCCGAATCTCATCCGATCAGCGTTCTTCTTATTAAGTTCAAGACAGATTTTTATCTAATATAATGAGAAAGAATCTTTACCTGGATAAAGACATGGCAGTGATAAAGCAGCAGATGTGAATATTCTTGATAGTCCGTGTGGAGCTGAGGTATGCAGAGATCTTAGAAAGTCGTGGTAAGACTCCAGGGAACTCTTCAAGCATCACCAGCACGAAGGAGAGGGTGAACGGAACCGTCATTGCTGCTAGAATTATTACCAGGTAGTGACAACTGAAAAATAAAGTAGTACAATTATATATAATTCTGAGTGATATAATTATATAGCAATGTATTGCATTCTGGATTAGGTATTTCAATAAAAAACATGGTAAATTAAAAAAAACAATGTTCAATAAGTAAAGTGATGAGTCCAAGCCACCAGATGTTAGGGCTGCAGAGAAAGAACCAGTCAAAAGTCAAAAATCATTTATTTCAATTAGACCCTTACAGGCAATTTTGAACGTCAACCATATACCACCATGACCATGAACAACACCAACGATAATATAGCCATTATTTATCCTAAAATTTCGAGTAAGTAACAATCGCAAAATGCCTGTTTATTGTAGGTACGTAAATTGCAAATTCACAGATCAATCCTAATGTCATATTATTTTTATTTTCAATTATGTTTTTTTTTATTTATGTCACTACAAAATATTTGATGGTACGTACTTTGTTACCGTGTATTTTAATGTTAACATGTAAAAAAATATTGTAAAAAAACTACTGGTTGTCCATAATTGAATGAAAAAAAAAAACAAAATTTAAATATATGTCATAGAAGCTATAAACGCTCTCTGTAATAAATACAACAACAAAGAAACATAACAAATAAAAATAAAAAATAAACAGAACAAGAAAACTTACTTGTAATGCACCAAGCTCTGGACAGCGACTATAAATAGCCAGAGCACTAGACAGCACATAACATTAGACTTGAATGTCTTCTCATCCACCTGCCCGAACTTCTCCTCCAATGAGGGCCGTCTGAACTTGAGCGACCATCCGTGCATGTTGCTCACGCGCATACGACGGTTAGACTTCACTTCTATAGAGTGATTTATTATGTCGTCTTCCTGCAAATAAAATAATGTTTTTCAAAGGGGTTCCACAATAGGATTGCTCCTTTACTATAAATAATTTACTTGTGTATTACAATATTCTGGGTGTTGTCCTAAACAATTTGTGGGTCACGCAAACATTCGGATGTCGAAACGTGCTGTTAATTTGTATGTAATGTAAGTATATGCTTCTGATTTGGCAAACAGATATCTAAGTTTGACTAAAAACCACTCTGTTCTTTTTCCTGTTCTAGGCCGAGGCCACGTTACATTATTGCGCAACCCTGGCTAAATATCAGTCGTATTGGGCCCCATTTGTGGTGGTATATTGGCTCTTTGTGCTCCAAACGCTACGCACGGCGCTGAACGCTGGTTCTGGTCGGGCGACGAGCTATTCTTGCTCTGCCTCGCCGTCCTTAGACCCTCGTCTACGGGTAACGGATTTCGTCGTTGTACTGCGTCCTCAGTTCAAGTAGAAGAAGGAACGAGTTGGTTTTTAGTCAGTAAGAGTCTGACACTCCCTCACAGTTTCTCCTCTCCCAGGTCAGGAGAAATCATTAGAAAATTTTCCCAGTTCAATTTTATACAATTTTGATAGCTTATTCAGACGATAAACCAATAACCCCAATCATATTACAACCAATTCGAAACCGAAGGCAATCGCGAGTAATTCGCACAACTCATTTCGTCACCAAAATTATTAATTTCCTTTCATAAATCGGGAGGAAAAGGTTAGGTTATGAAAGTAAAGTGGGGGTTGCTTTATATTCATTTTATATCTTACCTCGACATCTTCGAGTGGAGGCACGTCATCAATTTCCGGGTCTTGTTTATTATCGTCACAGTTTCTGTTGAAGGCCCTCGCTACTCTTGCTGCACTACTTACGTAATACTGAAAGAAAAAAAAAAATACAGTTTCAAGGTCAAATGTTATTGGTATTCTGTTGAGGATAATGCTCTTTTACTTAGCAGTCACTAGGTAATAAGGCTTATGGATTGTAACTGGGTGCATTTAGAAATACATAGAGTATTGTTACGTGCCTGACTATGCGGGCTTGGGTTACGGGATTGGATGAAATGAAACACTAATACCGGTTTTCAGACTTTCTATTGCACTTAAGTTACAGCGTCCACGGAGTTAAGTTATCGGCGTTCCTCTCCAGCAGAGTCCGGCCGACTGACACAACTTTGCCGTTCACGCTGACTTAACTCACTTAACTGACTGCACTGCACTATTTCACTGCACTTCACTATTTCACTCACTTTTCTTCTTTCTCACTTCTTTCTTTTCTTCCGAATCGCTTTAGACTTAGAACTCAACTGCCAGCGGTGAGCCGCAGTTCTGCTTATATACCCCCGGTCAGGTTCTGGAACATTCAATTTCGTTATTCTTTTTGATCGTCATGCCTCCAGAACCTTCCAATAATTTCGCTATTCATTTTTATTTATTCTCCTTCTCACTCTTTAATTTTTCATCTCTTTCACACAAATAATTCCAGAAAGTTCGACAAAACTTCCATCAACTAAAAAACTTCATGTTTACGGCGGGACTCGAACTCGGGGTCTCTGTGGTGTAATCCACACGCCTTACCAATTACACCAACTCGTATTGACAATTCACGACGAAATTTACAATCTCTAGGCAACGTTTGACAACCATCCATTGACGTCATGATGTCAAAGAGTTTGAACCACTTTTCCGTCACACTGCCCCCCTCTTAGATTCGCTCGTCCCGAGCATCGTTGCTGCCGTAATACCTCGCCAACCTGTCTATATGGACAACTTTCAAAGGGCTCCTTGAAGTCTTCCGAATTCTGTAAGTAATGTCATTGATCTTCGTGACTATCTCATAAGGACCTTCCCAACTCGGTTGCAGCTTCGGAGATTTTCCCTTCCTTCTGACTGGATTATGAAGCCAGACCAATGACCCCTCTTCAAACCCAACAGAATTGGCTCGTCGATCATAGCGCGTCTTTGCGCGAACACTAGCTTGAAGACTGGCCTCCCTGATCTGCTCATAAATGTCCAACATTTTTGCCCTTAACTCGTTTATGTAATCGCTAAACTCGGTGCGAGTGTCGCCAGGTGGACAGCCCGATACAAGATCTGCCGGTAATCTCAATTCCCTTCCAAAATTTGCAAATGCAGGCGTCTTTGCGGTACTTTCATGTACAGCAGTCCGATAGGCAAGCAAGAAGAGAGGTATGTAAGTGTCCCAATCTCTCTGATGGCTGTCAACCACCTTTGCTAAGTGTCGCTCCAATGTTTGGTTGAAGCGTTCGACCATTCCATCTGACTGTGGATGATAAGGGGTCGTTCGAGTCTTATGGATTCCCAAAAGTTTACAAGTTTCCTGAAAAACTTGGGATTCAAAATTCCGTCCTTGATCACTGTGCATCTCCAAGGGCACTCCGAATCGGGTGAATACCTCGTTTACCAACTTCGTGGCTACAGTTACTGCCTCTTGATTCGGTATGGCAAAGACCTCCGGCCATTTTGTAAAATAATCCATAACCACTAAAACGTAGCGATTGCCCGAATCAGTGATTGGAAAGGGTCCAGCCATGTCTAAGGCTATTCTCTCCCAAGGCATACCAACATTGTAGATTTTCATCGCCCCTCTGCTTCTTGTTTGTGGACCCTTGACAGCTGCACAACTAGTGCATTTCCGGCACCAATCTTCGACGTCATATTTGCAATGCAACCAATAAAACCTCTCCTTGATCTTCACCAAAGTCCTCCTAATTCCCAAATGTCCTCCAGAAGATCCATCATGGAACGCTTTTAATACATCCCTTATTTTTGAACGAGGCACCACCAATTGCAAATGCTCGTCCTTGCCGTTTGTTGATTCCCATTTCCTGCACAGAAGTCCGTTATGCAGCGTAAGGCTTTTCCACTGTGCCCATAAACCTTTCGTTACCGCGCTATATTGGGCGACGTCACTCCAACTTGGCTCGACTGGAGTGGCTACGAAGTGGTAACAAACCACTTCGTAGCCACTCCAGTATTGGTTTAATATCTGCATCTCTTTCCTGTTCTAATTTCATCGCATCATCTCCCCATGCCTCGTCAACAGTATCAGTCCTTATCACCTTAAGAAAAGCAGTTTCCTTCTTGGCACAATGCTTGCAATCTTCCACGCATGGGCGTCTCGATAATGCATCTGCGTTGCCATGAATTCTTCCGCCGCGATGTTCGATTTCAAAGTCAAATTCCTGAAGTTGTTCCAACCATCTGGCTACTTGGCCTTCGGGATCCTTAAACTGAAGCAGCCATTTCAAAGCAGCGTGATCTGTTCTGATCAAAAATTTCCGTCCCAGTAAATACTTCTTGAAATGGTGCAGAGTTTTAACTACGGCCAGCAATTCCCTCCTGGTCACGCAATAATTCCTCTCCGGCTTGGATAGTGACTTGCTGAAGTAAGCAATAACCTTCTCCTGCTCACCATCGCGTTGTGAAAGGACACCTCCTATTCCAATATTGCTGGCATCCGTATCTACTACGAATATTCCTTTCGCGCTGGGGTATCCGAGAATTGGTGTGTTACAAAGCCCTTCCTTTAGTTCTCGAAAGGCTTGCTCACAATCCTCGTCCCAGATAAAGGCACGTTTCTCCTCTGTCAATCGATGCAAAGGCTTGGCAATGTCCGAGAATCCTTTCACAAACCGCCGATAATACGAGCACAATCCAAGAAATGCCCGAACTTGCGTTTTGTCTTTAGGTGTTGGCCATTCCTTAACAGCGACAGTCTTGGCTGGATCAGTCTCAATTCCTCTCTCAGAAATAACATGTCCTAGATAATTCACTTCGCGCTTGAAGAAAGAGCATTTCTTTGGACTCAACTTTAAATTTGCTCCACGCAGCTTGTCGAGTACCTTTTCTAATTTCCTTAGATGATCGTCAAAATCCCGTCCAACAATGATGATGTCATCGAGGTAAACTAGGCAGGTTTCGCCCAGCAGTCCCGCCAGCACCTGTTCCATCAAACGCTCAAAGGTTGCCGGTGCATTGCATAATCCAAATGGCATCACCTTAAATTGCCAGAGTCCCTTCCCAGTTGAGAATGCGGTCTTTTCCTTGTCCTTGGGATCCAAATCCACCTGCCAATAGCCGCTTTTTAGATCGAGCGTTGAAAACCATTTCATGCCACTCAGTGTGTCAAGTGTGTCATCGATTCTTGGTAACGGGTAGCTATCCTTCTTGGTTACATCATTCAATCGTCGATAGTCTACGCAAAACCTCGTTGAACCATCTTTCTTCTTGACAAGCACGACAGGTGAACACCAAGGGCTAGAAGAGGGCTCTATCACGTCATTTTTCCTCATATCGTCAATCATTTCTTCAACCTCTTTCTCACGAGCGAATGGTATACGTCTGGGCCTTTGACGAATTGGCATTGTATCACCTGTGTTTATTTTATGCTTCACCAAACCAGTTCGGCCAATATCACCATCGCTTCTTGAAAACACATCAGAGAATCGAAGAAGTAAATTTCTAGCTTTCATAGTCTCCACTTTTGTCAGACTTTTGTTTTCGTCTAAGATTTTCGTTACAAAGTCTATTCCCGTACTGTCCTTCTTCACAAGATTTTCCGAGCATTTTCTTATCCAGGCCACTTCTTCCAATACGCCCACAGGCTCTCCTTCTTCAATCGTAATTTTTGAATCACTGAAGTTGAATACCGGAATGCGGTTGACATCAGATGACCCCACGACAGTTCTTGCCGGTAGCCATGAGTTTACGTGTTCCGATTTATCAATCACAGCGCACCTTCGAGGTAAACTTCCTTCCCTCCTCCTAGGTAATGCAATTGGTACGAGAGTCTGTGATTTTGGTGCAAGAACAGTTCTTCTTAAACAGCAAACTTTTCCCAGGGTTCCACCCTTCATCGGAATTTCCTCAGTTCCACATAGTAATACTCCAGATTTTAAGTCGATGTTACACTGGTGCCCTTGCAGGAAGTCAAGTCCCAGGATGCAGTCATCCAGAATTTCGGCCACAATAACCTCATGTCGATAAACACGTTCCCCAATTTTGATTGTTACATGCAGTTTTCCACTTATCGGTATGCACTGGCCGGTAGCTGATTTCATTCGTAGGCCAACAATTGGTTTAAGGTGTTTCCTGATGTTTTGCCCAAACAGCCGAACATTTATCACCGTCCTTGAAGCTCCAGTATCTAATGTTAGCTGACTGTTTTTCCCATTTACTTGACCGTCTATCACCAGTGTATTTCCATCGTTGGTTTGCTTGATGTAGATTGTTGGGGTTGTTCCACTTCCAGCCAGCGCCCACCCCGCAGCCTTGGCTGGATTTAAGTTTCCCTGCTGGTCAGAAGTTGAGACCGCCGCGTCCTGGCGGTTCATCTTCTTCGGGCAGTCGCTCCGTATGTGCCCACGCTCTCCGCATCCATAGCACATGAAGTTCCGACGGCGTGGAGGTACCTGCTCCGTTGTCGTCATTTCCCGCAGACCTAAGGTACGGGGGTTGCCACGCACGGCTTCCACTTCCAATGCATGGGCCAGAGCTTCTTTCATGTTCTTGTGATGGTCCAGATGAACAGCAGCTCGTACTTCGGGGTCCCGAATACCGTCAATGAATGCTTGGAGAAGCGTGCCTTCAATCATTGACGGAGTCGACCGGAAAGCTCGACGCACAAGTTTCTCGATTTCCACGGACCATTGCTGTAGGCTCTCATTAGCACGCTGAGTACGCTCTTTTAATTGCGCTCTGTACACGTGCTCGAGGTGGCTGTCTCCAAAACGTGCCTCCAGTGCGTCGAGGAGGGCACTAAAGCTGAGATCCCCACTTGCGCCGATAGCTTCCAGCACTGAGAGCGCTTGATCACGGAGGGCCAGGGTGAGGGCTGACTGTGCTTCCTTCTGAGTCCAACCATAAGCCTCCATAAGTGTCTCGAACTGTAGCTTGAACGCGGTCCAGGATGTTGTTCCGTCGTAATGGGGAATCTTGAGCCCTTTCGTTGCGCTTGAGGCCGCATTTGGGGCGTCAAAAACGGCTGCAAGACGGCTTCGGCTCTTCAAAGGGCTTGGGCTTGTCATTTCCTGCTTGATTTTGGAGATCTCTTCTTCCACTCTCTCCTCTATGGCCATGACGCGATGTTCCAACTTGCCTAACCCTTCCTCCACTTCCTGTACCCGTTCGACAGCCTTTTGCAGTCCCTTCGTGAAATCCTTGTGCATCTCTTCCAAGCGACGCGCTTGCTCCTCTTGGCGGCGAGCTTGATCTTCTTTGAGCTCCCGAAGCTGTTCTGCCTGACAGCGTGCTTGCTCTTCTTGGCGGCGCGCTTGCTCTTCTTGCCGGCGCGCTTGCTCTTCTTGGCGGCGCGCTTGCTCTTCTTGGCGGCGCGCTTGCTCTTCTTGGCGGCGCGCTTGCTCTTCTTTCAGCTCCCGCAGCTGTTCTGCCTGACAGCGCGCTTGCTCTTCTTGGCGGCGCGCTTGCTCTTCTTGGCGGCGCGCTTGCTCTACCATCATTTGCTGCAGCTGTAGCAGAAGATCCACCTGCACAGGCTTGGCTTCTGCATCGCTGATTTGAGCTGCAGCACCCTCTTCCCTCACACGCTGCGCTTCTGACATTGCGCGGGTACTCACTCCTCTTACGTCCTGCGGCACTAGCGGCATTTTTCTCCAATCCCACTTCTGACACCAAATGTTACGTGCCTGACTATGCGGGCTTGGGTTACGGGATTGGATGAAATGAAACACTAATACCGGTTTTCAGACTTTCTATTGCACTTAAGTTACAGCGTCCACGGAGTTAAGTTATCGGCGTTCCTCTCCAGCAGAGTCCGGCCGACTGACACAACTTTGCCGTTCACGCTGACTTAACTCACTTAACTGACTGCACTGCACTATTTCACTGCACTTCACTATTTCACTCACTTTTCTTCTTTCTCACTTCTTTCTTTTCTTCCGAATCGCTTTAGACTTAGAACTCAACTGCCAGCGGTGAGCCGCAGTTCTGCTTATATACCCCCGGTCAGGTTCTGGAACATTCAATTTCGTTATTCTTTTTGATCGTCATGCCTCCAGAACCTTCCAATAATTTCGCTATTCATTTTTATTTATTCTCCTTCTCACTCTTTAATTTTTCATCTCTTTCACACAAATAATTCCAAAAGTTCGACAAAACTTCCATCAACTAAAAAACTTCATGTTTACGGCGGGACTCGAACTCGGGGTCTCTGTGGTGTAATCCACACGCCTTACCAATTACACCAACTCGTATTGACAATTCACGACGAAATTTACAATCTCTAGGCAACGTTTGACAACCATCCATTGACGTCATGATGTCAAAGAGTTTGAACCACTTTTCCGTCACAGTATATTAAAATATGATAAATACATATAATACAATAGTAGCTAGTCTCGCACAGTTTCGGTTTCCCGCTACTCGGCTCTATTTGATAGTAGCGTGATGTTTTATAGCCGTGATGTTTTATGTTTTATAGCACTCAGGAACATTGTAGCTATCTATCAGTGAATGAATTTTGGCAAGCCGACTAGCGGTTTCAAATATTACCCCATACATACGAACTTACAAATTATCCTTATATTCTTATTAGGAATAAATAAAGTGCCTACATAATGGTGATTAAGCGGTAGTCATCTGTTGAAATTTATTATGGATCATGTTCACTTTTGTCACGAAAGTTAGGATACTATTGTTAAATGGATTTTTACTATCAGTGTAGAAATATTTGGAATTTACATTTAATTTTAAAGTAGCATTTGTCATAATATGTATCCTTTATGTAAGTTTGAACTTGTAACTTATATTTCATTTCACAATAAAATTTTACTGTGAACGTTATCAGTTAGTTTGTAACTTACATTTTGAAAGGGCATCTCAGGTGTCCAATCAGCTGTCATCTCATCATCAATAGAGCTGCTTGGCCGTCGCGGTGTGGACTCCCAGTTCGTTTGCGGCTGTTGCGGTACACTGCGAATGGGAGAGATGTTAAGACATAAAATTTTAATAAAATAATTGACTGCACGGTTGGCGCGATGGCTGGGCAAGGTCCAATTCCTGCACGGAACAACTTTGTGTGATTTACAAATTTTTGTTACGGGTCTAGGTGTCATGTGTATGTGAAATTGTATGTTTGTAAACGCACACACATACCACAACGCAGGAGAAAATCAGCTTTGATTGGCTAGTGTGGGACAAGATTAAAAAAAAACAATACTATGTTGGTCATTAACCGACTTCTTTAAATTAATAGTTTCTTTAAGAAAGATATGCCACAAGGCTTAATTGTGATTCAAATTTAATGAATAATCCCTAGGAACGTAAGCAATTTTAAAAAATAATTCAGCTAATACCGAATAAATCCTACAATTCATAATAAATTTTAACAAATACCCAAGATCCTTTCAAAGAAAAGTGGCCTCAACTTAGGTTTGGAGGAAAAAAAATAAAATTTTTACATACACATCACACTTAGGCTCCGCACAATACTTTATGGATCACTCAAAGAACTGTTCCATGCGAAAATCGAAAGCACCAGTTGTCCTTCGTTAATCTCTACGCCACTCGTATAGTCAAGAGTCGTTTTAACTCTAATATCTCACCTAGTCCTAGACCGATGTCGCATGCGCCGAGGCTGTTCTGTACTCTTGATGAGGTAGGTGACAGGATTGTGTTCCCTCAGGTACGGGTCCCGACTCCCGCCGTCCCCTGGCTCCACTTCGAACGCACCGTTCAAACACTCCAGCGTCGACGACGATATGTGCACACGACTGTTGAAGTTAAGTAAAGGTGTAAAAAAAGGAATTAAGAATTCCCCTAAATGTCTTATTAGTGAGATTTGAAATAACCTTTGATATAATGTCAGGGTTTTGACCATTTTAAAGTACATCATCATATGATCAGTATGCGTCACTAACTGTCCAAAGGTTTATTCTTATACGGAATAGGTTTGAGCATTAACCACCATACTTTTTTTCCTGATGTTTTCTTTCATGGTGTATCAATAGTGTCTAAAAAGACTAGAGAAAGAACGTATATATAACTCGAAAAATGCCACATTGGTAGTTGCCTGGTTTCGAACCGGCAACCTCCTACATAAGAAGCGGGCGCTTTAACAGACCACAATGACAAAAATGATAAAATACATATACAACATACTTAATTGAAGCTGAATAGTTTCTATAGCAAGAAACGAGACAGATCACCCTAATGACAATTAATCGGCGTGGCTAATGGACAACTATTGGGTCTTTTTTCAAACGTTCTATTAAAAGCTACGGGACTAGTAATAAGGAAGTTAGTACGTATCAGTTCTTACCCAGGTAGACCGCCACTCTCCATGTGATTAGCGAGAGTGACGTCGTGCGACCACAGGTCAAACTGCCACTTGAGAAGGCCCAGCACCCCACACAAGACTTTGCCGCTGTGGATCCCGATGCGCATGTCCAAATCCACCTGAACATAACATTCTAGAATCTAGAGATACATAACTTAGGTACGGTAAGTGGATTTATGATTTGTTTCGAATAGGTGCCAATTGATTTTTTTTAAGGGGGTATCGTAAGTTCTATAAACTGCTTCTCCCGCCCTGGATGATGCGAAAGAAAAAGTACTCGAGAGACCCTTACTGACTAAAAACCGGCCTGTGGTTTCTCCTGCTCCGGTCCCGGGACTCAGTATATTGTTGCGCCCGAAATTCGTCTAGTAGTGTGATTGTTTATAGGCCGTGGTTTCTCCTGCTCCGGTCCGGGGACTCAGCACATTGTTACGCTCCTAATTCTTTCAGTAGTGCGACTGTTTATGCGTGGCAGCGATTGCTTACCATCAGTAGTTTGTAACCGTTTTCTAGTTTATCAGAAAAAAGAACTTTCTTAACCTATTAATCATGGTAATTCGAGACACAATAGTAAGACAATAGGTGCGTGAACGCCGGCGTTCGCTTGGGGTTTCATGAATAAATATGTGTTAATTATTCTTCGAACCTGTGCATTATACCGTACGTCGCGGATGGCTCGTATCATGTGCAGCCCCATGTTGACGCAGCAGTGGGCGTGGTCCTCGCGACGGTCTGGTAATCCACTCACACAGAAGTAGCAGTCACCAAGTAACTTGATACGGAGGCAGTGGTTCTCCTAAACAATATGGAAAAAGTAAGTTATCTACTGTTTTATGTTTTTGACAAGACGTTTTAGTTCAGGACTAGGATTTTCTGCTGTGTCGTGGGGGTGTTTACATGCATGCAGTTTCACACACTCCTTACACCAAGACCCGAAACAACAATTTGTGGATCACACAAAGAGTTTTTTCGTGCGTAATTCGAACTTGCGTCACGTTGCGTGGACGCCAACCAACCCAACTACCACGAGAAACATGCAGTCAAACCGTAATGACAGTTATACATTTTTATGTATAAAAAGAAAAGATATATTATTATATTTAGGAAGAGTCATGTTTATAATTAAGTTCCCTCAATAAAATACAAGTTGTAAACATAATAGTTGTAAGAAGTCTCACCGATGCCAACCTGTCGAAGCGGGCGAACAGCTCATTTAGTAGTTTCACCAACTCTTGCGCACTGCATTTACTTGATAGTTCTAAAACGAACAAATTTTATTTGTTAATTAACTTTGCCTGTTTGTGTACAGACTACAAGAAACAATACTTATTAGAAACAACCACGGCGTTGTGTTTCGCCGTGTGGGTTAGGTTACCGGAGGCCCAATCCCTTCCCGCCCCCTATCCCTCCTCAATCAATAAATTTCCAAATCCCTAATCCCTAAAATGTCGGCAACGCACTCGTAACTCCTCCGTTGCGGGTGTCCATGGGCGGCGCTGATTGCTTACTATCAGGTAATCCGTCTGTTCGTTTGCCGACCAATTACATTAAAAAAGAGTCGCAATAAGCACATGGATGATCATCTTTATGGCTCACCGATTGAATATATGATGATCATGTAACTTTTTATACATACCAGATTGCTATGGTGGTAAGTAATCGGCGTCACCTTTGGTCACCCGCAAACCAAGAGCAGTACAAATGCATTGTCGGCCATTTGTAAGTTAGTAGGGATTTCAGGATTGGTTTGGAAGGGGGGATTAGGCCTCTGGTAACCTTACTCACAAAGCAACTTTGAGCTCGTAGTATATCTCCAATCCAGCAACAGCAGTGAACAAGGCTCTCCTTTACTTTAAAATTAAATTAGTTAGCTGGCTTAGTGACCCCACTTATTAGTAACTAGGTACTGTCGCGCGGTTTCGCCCACTGCTCGGCTCCATTTATTCGTCGTGTGATGTTTTATATAGCCTATAGCACTCAGGAACATTGTAGCTATTCTATCAGTGAAAGAATTTTGGCAATCCGACCAGCGCGCAGCGGTTCCAAAGATTACCCCCTACATACAAACATACAAATTTAACCTTTATATAATATTAGTATAGAAGTATAGATAACTAACTAGTCTCGCGCGGTTTCACCCGCTGCTCGGCTCAATTTAATCCTAGCGTAATGTTTTATAGCTATATCAGTGAAAGAATTTCAAAGATTACCCCCTACATTCAAACTTACGAACATACAAACATGCAAACATACAAACTTACAAATTTTACGTCTTTATAATATTAGTATAGATATTCCAACACACTATCTGCCAGATACATTTGAAAATGGGATAAGTGATTTTCACGAACAGTCTACCAGAAACCAGTCTTTAGAATCCATTCTTCCTTACCAGTAAATCCTTTGATGTCAGCGTACAGTATGGAGACGTCATGATGCTGCTGTATGTAAAGGTTATTGAACTGCTGCTCTTGGAACTCTCCTTTCACTTTGTTCACGTGACCGTAGATCTCCTTCGCCAGGAAGTCTGGTATAACTGTTGTACAAATACAAAGAAATATAAACCTTTTGCTCTTATATTTAGAAAGGACAATCAAAATGTCAGATTAATTTAATAAAAAGATAAGTCTATTTCTGTCCACTACAGAACACATCTAGATATGTGCTTATTGAAAATACCTATCTCCGCTTTAGCATATTCCGTTATTTTACCATACCTATAGATAAAGTGGATAAGTTTCTTATAAAATTATGTATACTTCTGCGCTAGAATTTTCTTTTGCGTCGTTTTTTAATATTCGATTACACATACACATCACACTGAGACCAGAAAAAACAATTTGTGAATAGCAAGCAAAATCGACCCCGCTACAAGTTGCGAAGCATCTGGTTGCCCAGCCAAGCCATGCAGTCCAAGATGAATGTTTAATATTGCCAATCGGTATTTTTGTTACTCAGTTAGACACACGGTTTAACCCATTGACCGCCATGGTCGGCTATAGCTAACAAACCAAATATACTTAATTAAGTATATCTTTATCTGGTGGGCTATGCTCGACATTGGCGAAATAGTCTATTTTTCATCGTCTATAGCCGATTGTGATGGCGATCAAAAAGTTAAAAGACTGATACTTTGTATCTTTAAAGTTGTGTTGACGTTCAAAAGTGCCTGTATGGGTCTAATTGAAATAAATGATTTTGACTTTGACTTTGACTTAAAAACTAACCACATTCTACTAAGTTAAAATGAATCCTCACCGCTTTGAAACAGCTTCCACTGCCTATCACTCTCCCTTTTAGTCCTCTCCCTCGTGACCATGGATCTCCTGGTCTCCAGAAACGCTTTCCTCTGTCCCCAATCCGCCAGTGACTTGGCATACATTCCAGCAAAGTTTACAGCTATGTATAACAATGCATTGCCGATAATTAGACGAAGACTGCACGTGTAAGACTGTGGAAGTAAATATTTAATTATATCATCATAATGTATGCTTGTTACGTAATATTCATAATGCGTGATAAGAAAACAGTGAGCCATCCTTGTGATGTTTAGATGAGTAGGTTAATTCAGTTTTATTCGTTTAATTTATAGGTATATGTATGTACTAGCTACTCATTGTAGCTATCTATTAGTTTAAGAATTTCGAAATGAAATCCGACCAGCGGTTTCAAAGATTACCTCCTACATACAAACTTAAAAATTTTACCTCTTTAAAATATTAGTATAGATATACATTCGTTACCAATTTTTTTTAAAGTGATAATACGGTAAACGTATTTGAAATTTATAGGAGTTACTAGTGCGTTGCCGGTTTTTGGAGCAAGCTAGGGTGTGATTTAGGGATTGGGTAGGAATCGGAGGAGGGAAGGGAATTAACCTATGGGACATAAGACTTCAGTGGTTGTATCTACTCGTATTACTTCAATCGTAACATTTGTGAAGATTGGTATATAAAAATTTCAACTCACTGAGTGCTCACTATTTTCTTTACTAATTTAAATGTCCCAAAGATTCAAGGAATCAAAGAAAACTATAATGGTGTGGCTATAATGGTTCTTTTTCTAGACGTTCTAGTCTAACTGGTATCACAGAATAAGTACATTTCCATGAATAATAAGGATTCTAAAATTCTAGCTACATAGATCTAGATAAAATTACTTTCTTGATAAGATATGAAAGAATTGCATAAAAATAAATATATTACAAAATCTATTAGTTTTATGTTTAGGCTAAAAGACGCAATTTTTAAGAAGCTTCGTGGAAGTGAAATTTCTTCTAATAGTATATACCCTAAGTATGTAATTAAAAGCCTAATTATCTACAAGCAATTACAAAAATATCAAGTGATTATGAAGCTGAAAAACTCACACACTTATCAGAAAACTGTAGGAACGAAATATGTATATTAATACGTTATTGAATTACTCATAAATATTTATTGACTTTGATCTTTAGCTGCTTGATCCATTAGACTGATAAGGAAGATTCTGTGGCCTAAAATATAATGATAATTAAGATTTTATATTACCGCTAAATCCAGTTTTATCGATCTGGGAATCGAACCCGATACCTTAGCAATTTGAAAAGCAGTCTCGTTTGCAGCTTTGACGACCATGGTGTAAAGTATATTTTTTTAACAGCATTTTTATTACTTTATAATTTCCCATAATGTTATATAAGTGGCTAGGATAGTTGTACCATTGCTATGTAAAAATAAACTGTTAAGACTTTTTATCACTCAACTTGAAGACTTGTTATTAGGTTTCTGGTGTTTAAGATTGTGTTTACTATTTGTTGTTTTATATGTACTTAAATAAATATTCTTGAAACTTACATTAATGCTGCAATTGACTGCTTTCCTAGTATCGTCCATACGTTCCTTGATGACCAGCGCCGTCGCGAGGATATGTGATAGGAATGACAGCATCCCAATGACTATACACCAGATTAGGGAGAGAGGCAGCATGGCGTATGGCACGAATACTATGAACAGCATGTACCATACTTGGTTCTCCGAGTCTTGGAAACCAATGCCTTGCCCGCTTATACCTGGTGAAAGATTATTTGAAAATATAGACATATCACACTTGAAAGACTTTAAAACTTGGAGGACAAAAGGAGAAAGTTCTATCGATCATGGTTTAACAATGTTTCGTACTTTCTACAAATTTTTATCTTAAGTTAAATTATATGTGTTAATTAGTAGGTACTATAACAATATACAATTACAAATACAATTTTAAGTGTGGGAAAGCCATGCTTCGGCACTAATGGGTCGGCTCGACCGGAGTGATACCACGGCCTCACAGAAGACCGACGTGAAACAACAGCGTTGTGTTTCGCCGTGTGAGTGAGGTTACCGGAGGCCCAATCCTTCCCGCTCCAATCCCTCCTCAATCCTTAAATCTCCAAATCCCTAATCCCTAAAAGGTCGGCGACGCACTCGCAACTCCTCCGTTGCGGGTGTCCATGGGCGGCGCTGATTGCTTACCATCAGGCAATCCGTCTGCTCGTTTGCCGACCAATTAAAAAAAATAATATAATATAGTAAGAATAAGTAGGAATTTGTGCAGGTATTTATTGAAAAAAAAACGGCTTACGTATGAACAGAGAAAAGCTCTTATTTCATGTCACAACGGGACTCTTTTAGTTTATTCAGTGAGTAAGTTGGTATTTTCATTAAGGGCTGATTTTTCAATATTCAGATAAATGTTATCTGAGAAATAAAATTGTTGCTGTCACTGTCTTATACAAACATTCGACTCGACAGCATCGTTATTACGTACTCCCCAGATAACTTTTATCTAATCATTGAAAAAGCAGCCCTTAAATTAGTAAATATTACGATACTTTAGGGTTAACTGTAAAAGTAGGTACGACCAATAATAATTAGTCGTGATAAAATGTAAGTGAATTTATAAAACATTTGACCTTGAGCGATGAGCAGTATCCAGGTGGCTGCGGCTGCCCAATGCAGGTAGTTGTTGGCGAAACACCGCCACCAGCCCAGCAGACATACTCCCACATTTAGCCAGGAGAACGCCACGGTCCACGCGATCTGATATGGACTTGGTGATGCTACTGAAGAAGAAAATTAGATGTGAAAAAGTTTTAAATTAGGAACTCTTTTTCTGTGATTTTGTTTAGAAATTCCATTTTAGGATAAAAACCCCTAATTAAAATAGAATAAAAAAAACCATTTTAAGTAAATAGTTGTTATCTTATTTTTGTGAAGGGAAAAAAACAAATATCTTCTCTCGCAAAGGGTATGGCTAGAGGGAGTGTCAGACTCTTACTGACTAAAAACCCCCTGTTCCTTCTCCTGCTCTAGGCCGAGGTACCTTTTGCGCTTGACCCGCGACTCCGGGAAAAATTGGTATCTAACTTAAAATGGTCAGCTTATGATAATATCTATTATAAATGGAGATGTGACGTGAAAGTTGGTCAAGCCAAACTATTGAAGCCAATTTCACCATGAGGATTACAATACAAAAAAATCTAATATTATTTGTCTGATATTAAATCTGACTTTCACTGTCCCAAAAACTTTATCTATACCTATTACACCTATACCTTTAAGAAAAAACTTTATTTTTTAAAATTCAAATAGCTTCTTTGGTGTTGCCATAATCCACTGAACGCTCAGCATCTGGTGAAGAGTTAGCCATGAAAAAAAAACTTTCACATTCAATTGATAAGTGTCCCATATAGCAAGAAAAACTCTTACACTCAATTAATAAGTGCTTATAATGTAGATACCTAAGTAATAGATACAATTAATAAACTTTACCCAAAAGTTCTAATAGTAAGTAAATCAAATTAGCAGTTACTGTTTCTAGATATATATTGAAGAGCTCTCAACATATTCGAGATTGATCAAATGCTGCAAATTTAAATTGATCGTACACAAATTTAGTTTTTATTTAATGAAAAGCACTTTTGTAACTTACCGTCTAAATTTGTGACTGTGTATATTATTGCTAGACAAATCTGAAAATTGAATAATTCGTTATTAAAAACTTAAATAACAATAATAATAATATAAATAAACTAGTTTTTGCCCGCGACTCCGTTCGCGTGGAATAGTGACTTCCTGCAGATGTTTGGTATAAAAATGTGTCTATGCTATGTCCTTTCTGCAGTTCCAAACTATGTCTGTACCAAATTTCACAGTAATCGGTTCAGTAGTTTAGGCGTGAAGGAAAGACAGACAGACAGACAGATTTACTTTCGCATTTATAATATTAGTTGGGATGTAAAAGGGAAATTCAACTTATTAGACTGTTGTTTTAGTAACGTATTCGTAACGTCTACCGCGTTTGTCGTTGCATTTGTTTTTCAAGATTTGCGGCCCCTTGACGTGGCTTGAAATTAGTTGAGTTATCTTGTCGAACAGAACATGGTTGAGCCATGTAGTTTAAATGAAACAGTTTTGGCTGAAACATCCTTACAACAGATATTCTGTTTCGACACACAATAATAATAATATTGTTGGGTATGTAAAATTATCTTTTGTTGTAAGACATATAAAAATATAAATAATTATAGGGATGTTTTTTGAAACTATTTAACGAAGAACTCGTCTAGTTTGAGCTACAGTAAGGTGTCATATTTGTAATCGAGGGACGTTTATAGCCGAGTCAGCCGCTAAACATAATAGCATATTATATTAATTTTTTCTCTCTTTTTTACAGTTTTAAGCTTACCTTAAGTGCTAAATCGACAACGTTCACCATTATAAGTGACTTCTGTCGCTGCCTCCGCGAATATCTTTGGTATGATAACTCTACTGCTTTATTCTGCAACAAAATTAATCTCAATGACCAAAACCAAACGTTTAAACAACTTTCAGGAATTTCGTGAGTGAAATCTAATGTTATGATTTGTTTTCTTTCAGCAGGAGGGGCCATGTTGTGTCTCAGAGTGAGTTTGTGATATTTTTTATATGATAGGTCGGCAAACAAGCATACTGATTACCTGATGGTAAGCAATCAGTGCCACACTTCCAACATCAGAGGAGTTACGAGTACATTGCCGACCTTTTGGGTATAGGAGATTTGGTATAGGGGGAAAGATTGGATCTCCGTTAACCTTACTCACATGGCGAAATACAACGCTGTGATTGTTTCACGCCGGTTTAGAATTAGAGTCGGTTTAGTGTCACAAGCTAAGAGACTTGTCACCACCCCGTTCACTCTCGTGCTTTGAGCTAGGCCGTGGTACATCATAATAGTAGATGATCCTGATACCATATTAGTCACAATAAAGAATACTAATATTACTAAGAAAATTCTCAAAACACACCAGTAACACTTAAACCAGGAGTTGAACCCGTTGGCATTCAGTCTTGAAACAGCTCAACGAAACAAACAATATTTATTATTTACTCGGACATTAATAAATCAACACAATGTTTTTATAATTTTTATATAAAAACTATAATATAATAAACTTTTCTTAGTTAATTTACCTGAGTAAGTCGTCATTTTCAACAAGTTTAGATAGGTTTATTGTTTTTGTACAGATATGAAGTAAAAAGGTTTAGCTTACCTTAAAACTATTTGTGATTGAGGGACAGTATATCCCCCGGTAGTAGCGAGGTGCTCTGAGCATGCCTTCTGTTTCCACTGCGAACAATAACATAGTCATTAAGTCGTCAAAAAGGAATTGTTTTGTAATTGAATGACGCAACTAATTAATAAAACCTAAGTTAAATAAAAAAATGATCTTTCTATTTTTATAAAATATTGTTCTTTACTAAGTTTTCTTCTGCGTCGTGGGTTTTCGTTTACAAACATACAATTTTACATTTAGGCTCGGAACAACTATAAAAAAGGAGTTGTTCAGTGTGGGAATTGAAACCACGACACGTTACCCTACAGAGACAGCAACTAACTTCATATAATTATATGAGTTCTTAGTTTCGCTGCTATTTTAAATGACTAGCACCGGTCTATCTGCTAATCAGAATCCTAGGCTGTACCTGTCTAAGAATGAAAAGGCAAAGAAATTGGGCATGCAAGTGGTTCGCATGAGTACATAAAAAATATAATCTTAAATAAAATTACAAAACAATAACCAAACTATGTGTCGGGGTGGCCCGGAGGTTAAGGAGCCCGCTTCTCATGCATGAGAGTGTGGGTTCGAAACCTGGCAAGTACCAATGTAACTTTTTCCGAGTTATATGTACTTTCTATGATAATTTAGACACTACTGACATACGGTGAAGGTAAACATCGTGAGGAAACCTGGACTTATAATTTCTAATTATAAGTTTGAAATTGCCAACCCGCATTGAGCAAGCGTGGTGATTAATGCTCAAACCTTCTCTGTATGAGAAGAGGCCTTTGCTCAGCAGTGGGCACTTATAGGCTGATGATGATGATGATGAACCAAACTATACTGTCTAAAATCACATATATAATAACATAATTATATCAATTTACAATATCTCCGTAGCCAGTCTACGGCGTAGCAGTTTCGTAGCCGCGTAGACTGCTACGGATATTGATGTTTTGATGATTGTTTATGATGTTTGGTGTAGCGGTACAATTAGTTCTGTCCACGGCTCGAATCTGATTAGTCTCAAACAATTGCGGGACCCGTAAAGTTTAATAACACAATTATTATGAAGTTTGAAGCTAGGGAGTTAGTTCACGTACTTGTTATGGGAATCGAATTAGCCTGGTATAGGGCTGTATGTACCTAAGTATTGTGTCACAGATTTCCATTGAGATATTAGACAGGAATCTTAAACTAGAATTGAATAACATGATTTTTCTTTATTCCCATATATACAATTTCTAAATCCCCAACCCTAAGTAAACCAACCTTTCATCGTAACCCAAAGGCAACGCATTTATAACTCTTTTGGTGTTACGTGTTACGGTATTGCTTAGGTATCAGGAGAATCCGTCTGCTCGTTTTCCGACCAGATCCAGGGTCCGTGGTAATAGATGTTTTCAGATCAAGTATAATATCGTCATACATAATAAAAAATAGTTTTAATAGTTACGAATTTTTTTTTTAAATGAAACGTATTTAATATTTATGTAAGATACTAGCTAGAACCGCGTGGTTTCGCCTATTGCTATGCTCCTATTTGTTGTAGCGTGATATAAATAAGCACGTTCAGGTATACAAACAAACAAACTCTTCACAATATTAGTATAGATTCTTTAATAAAAAAGGTCACTAACCTGGATCCTCTTGGAATGGATTAATGCTGTGCGTTGACGCTCCGTCATCACTGATACGGCGCTGTCACAGATAATGGATTATTAAATATTTAGTATTAGATTTACAAACAAGCAGCAGCAGGTACTAAGGCCTAGATATGTTATTATTATTTAATGTTATATTTTGTTATACTTCGCTTTCATTACTATTTGTTGAGATTAATAAAATGTAAAAATCAATCATACTAAAACACTACAATTGTTATTAAAACTCCACTGGATAAACGTGCTAAAATGTTTGTCTTCCTGCTACTCTCTCCAATCTCTAGGCTCCAATCACTCATATACAAAAAAACAAATAAAACAACTTATTCAGCTTCATAATATAATCAATATGTTCAGCTCCTAGAGGTCGGAACTTAATGATTTAAAGTATTCCCCTTCCGTAGTTCCTGTGTAAAAAACGTTCAAATAGATGCTTTAACAAACTCTATAATAAATAAAAGTATAGATAATAGTCGGCGCATACCTGGTCATCAGGAGCTGAGCAGCTGGCACCATCCCCCGGCAGCCGCTCCCCCTCAGGTCCTTGTGAGCTAGGCAGCTCAGCAGGCCGCACGTGGTCCACGCAGCTTAGGCACTGAAACAAGACATTTCTTTGTTTATCAAGTAACAAAAATATGGCCGATTCATCAGTCAAAAATACATTATTCCTATTTATAAGTTAAACCGTTAGAATGCCTTAAAATAAAATAAAAAATAATACAAATTTCATTATTTTACAATTTAATTATTTATTTTACAATTTTATTTTCATATGCGATGCAAATATCGAGAAAAATATTAATGTCTGACTCTGAATTTGTCAAGATTTAAAAAAGAAAAAGGTAATAAGATTTCTTGGAAAATTTGTAGGTTTTGAAAAACAAGCACGACTCTAAATATATGTATGAAAACGGGTATCAGTTTTTTATTTGTTTACAAGAAGTTCTACCTATCTATATTTTTCTTCGAAGCATAATAATAAGTCTTCCCTCCAGAATAGTTTTCGTTGAATTTTGTGTTTTATTATAAGTGTGCTATCGATCACTAAGCTGTCAGATAATGTCACCTTAAGTGTTATATTCCTTTTATGTATGCATAGTGTATTGTAGTAAAATTTTGTACCCTCGTAAACACGTGTAAGATGGGACCTTCGAGTAGTTGTTAGTTAAGTATTAAGTCAAAATCTGATAGTCCTCTTCTTCTTCATCATATTAGTTAGGTAAATAAACCTAACATATTTATTCTCATTTTTCTTTTTTTTTAACTTTGCCCTCCATTAGTCTTTGGTAAGCTGTTGCTGGTCTTTCCGTAGCAGTCATATGCATAAACCAGGAGACCACATATTGGAGACAGCCATGTGCCCATGTAGCCATAATGATAGCGCTTTTTAACTAACCTAAAACTTTTAAACTGCGATACACAGTTCTTGTGTTTCTAATACTAGTATTTATTTATTTATTTCATGAATCAATAGCTGCAGTGTGCAATGAAACATACAGATAACAATACAGAACCACTAATGTGTAGATTAAATTCAGACGAATAGTGATAAACTAGGTATCAACCAAGACAAAAATAAATAACAAACTAAAATCAGAAAACACTTAAATTAGAAAACTAAAAAGTTTTTTATCAAAATATATAAGTCTTTAGTTTTAGCGTTTCTTAAGTTTGTACAAAACATATCGATATAATGTTTGTAATTAATGTTAGGCGTAAACTTATTTATTACTTAAACTTACGTATATCGACTACCTTAAGGAAAGAAAGAGAAGAAAATACGTTCTAAAACATCGATATACCATATAGACAAATGCGTAGTTCGTAGCAAAGTGTCCACCCGTCAAAACAATGTCGCAACGACTTCAATCGTTCACACTAATGGTTTCCATGTGTAAACGCATTAGTGTTGTCGAAAGCTTATCAAGTTATCACATTCGAGCTGATACATTGTTATCTGAGTAACGCGAACGTACAGCGATTTTTATGGCGAAACGTCCCTACCAAATGAAATGTGTTGGGGAATTTTTTTGACTCATATTTTTTTGAGGCATGACTCTGGTTGGGAGCATTTTGACAAGGCATGTAATATGGAAATGCCTTAAGTGCTCACCTTCAATATTCTGTGCAAAGGCACGTCACGGATTTGAAGTTATATTAGGAGGCACATAGTCTTCTTTGTTCTTGTGTTATTGTTTTAATAAAGTGATGTCTTATATCAAGTGCTATTTATTGTAGGTTGATAATATTCGAATTGTGGTCGACGGTCACATTTATATGATTAGTGGAAAACAACTGTAAGTGGTCGTAATAGATATGTATGTGTTACCTCAGCTGGAAATAAGATAAATAATATAAATTACTATTAAATAGCGTTCTACAAACTCACTACTTAAAAATTATGAACCTATTGAACTGATTTTAATGAAACTTGGTAATTATATGTAATATACATTGCCCTAAACATTTTATATCTTAAGTACATTTTCGAAAAATCAATTTTAAGTTTCCATAACAAATATAAAAACGCGAATTTTGCTTATGAAAACTAAGTTTTATTAAAGTCATTGAAAAACAATACACAATGGTCACAAAGCGATTAACAAAACAAAAAAAAGATGGAAAACGAAATTGTCTCCTGATTAAGGCGTCAATGACAGCGAAGAATGAGACTAAAATAAAAAGTATCCTCTTTTAAATCCAACATCCAAAATCAAATATTTCCTTCGGCACCAAAAGTGAAGTGAAAATCTCCTAAGCTTTAAGCTGACCGAAGCATCATGCTCTGAATATTTATTCCCAATCCTCCTAAGATTGGTTTCATGTTTGCCGAGGAGTCAGCGCCACGGGCAAAAATTCCCTCACCTGAATTTCTTTAGCATAAAATACAAACTACGTTATTGGAAATAAACATAAGGCTTGATTATGAAAATTTTCGTAAACATTTTTGTTTTTTTCTTCTTTTCTTAGAATTTTTCGGTCACGGAATCTTGACTGAAGTGTGATATGACACTATGTCACTTGGAGCGAATGATATCCATGAATGTATGAGAGTAACATTTGATTAAGTCTCAGTATAAAAGGATATTCATCCTAGATGTCTTGGTGGCCTGGAGACCTTCGGTGGAGGCGGCCGCTTCTTATGCTTATACCAATGTGACTTTTAATTACTTACTTTCTACGTACGGGGACGTTTGGGGACGTTTTGGCGTTCGTACCGGTCGGACTTGCTGTCAGATTCTTGTGCATATAAGTAAATAAAACAACAGTGTTAAGTACAGTTTAATGAAGAGAGAGGTGAAAGGATACATACATACAAAGATACAGATAGTGAGTGCTAACATAGGGCCTATATTATTGTTGTTTGATCAAATAAACCCAATAATAAAATTTTCTTGAGTGAGACCTATTTCATGTGTACCCTTTTAAAACAAAAAAAGGTTTTTTATCACATCGTTTTGAGTAAACAGCTGACCAGGTTGTAAATTCTTCACACCTGTCATACCTTGATACAAGCAATAACGCCGATGATCAAATATCGCGTATATATAGTATATATAATCGCGTATGTGTAGCCCTGACTGGAAGAGGCGCCTTACCGTCGTTCTGGCAGTGTCCAGAATGCAGGAAAAATGTCCGTAGGGACCACAAATCTGAGACGCCTGTCAGGAATAGTCAGTCTGTATTAGTTATAATTGTACCTATCATCTTAAGAATTTAACAAAACTATTATTATTACAAGGCCCGAAGGACCAAAAAATTCACATTCATCAAAACCAACTTAAGTGTTGAGATCGATTGATCTTCGCGGAATCTTTGAGTAATATTAATAATATACTTAATCGAATATAAACAGAAGGAACCAATGTTATCCAAAATTGGCCAAACAGTTAACGTATCGCATGAAATGAATTCACAACACGATGATGTAATTAGATCTCACTCTTTGAAAACTTGGTCCTTTGGGCCTACGTAATCGTATTTTGAATTTGCCAATCAAATATGTAAAGTAAATACTAGGTAGTAGGTCTCAATTTTACTTGTCAAACATTCTGTTCATACTCAAAAACTCCTAACTAGTTTTTACTTGGGAGTTCGATTTGAATTTGTTCGTGCGCATTCAAATGAATTGGAGAGTCGTGTTTGTTGACATTTAAAATGTTCATTTGTTACATATATTTATGAAATAGACTAGGCACGTCATTTTCGCAATCATCAGTGTGTCAACCCTTAACACATGAAGAAGGTACGAACTGAAATCACTCATCACAGACTTAGCGATTTTAATTGTAATTGGAAATTGCAAGTCCAGGTAGACTCTTAACTAGGGTTGCGAGGCTAGCACAATAAACTTGGCCTTAGCAGGAAAAGGAACGGGATTTCTAGTCAGAAGGAGTCGGTCAGTTCCTCTAGCGAGGGGAGTCTTGGGCGAGAGCAATTATTGAATGATTATCCTCTCACAAAAAAAAAGCTTCACGAAATTTTTCGACACCGAATGTCAGTGGTATCTAAATAAACTTAATTCTATAGGTACTAGGTTTCAAACTCGCATAGTCACACTCGAGGGCGCTTAAGTCTCCCTCAAGAGCTATCATTTATACGCTTGCTAATCTTATTACTATAATTCAAGTTTTGTAAGGGTCGAAAGAAGCAATGTAGGGGTAAGAATATATCAGACCGTATATTCTCTTAGGCATACCGCAAAAAAGTAGGAAAACGAGTTTTTTTTACTGGCAGCTTCTTTATTTGATCAGTTGGCTACACATTGATACATAATGATTGTGTTCTGGCCTATGAAAATCTTAACGACGTAGTATCATCTCTTTTTATAAAAGAAGCACACTTAATTGGTTCGTAAACTTGACCGAGCATAATTATGGTTCAAGGGTAGCTTTTTTGGGCGGTCCTAAGGGGCGTTTCTGAGTGAATAATGGTCCTAAGACCCCGACAAAGCCGCTTATTAGCCTTATGAGACACGAGCACTCAGCCAGTCTTACACAATTAATGTATTATGATATCTTTCTTGTTTATATTTCGGTAATAATAGTTAGTTATTGCGTCAGAAGTGGATTTGTAAGGTGTGAGTAATCAATAAAATGTTTATTCACATTGTTACCAAAAAGATAATTCAGATTATTTATCACACATGGGCTATGTTTAGTTTCGAGTGTTCGATAAAGATACATAGATACCATGGCTACTTTTTGAAAGGGGGAGTCCGGACGAGCAAAATTATGCTCCTGAATTTAGTTGTTTGGGACTATTATATCGACACATCAATAACACAATTTAATTTTTACTTATTTACAAATTGTATGATATTATTGCCATGTCTACTTAATAAACTAAGTATGCAAAGTGTAATTTCTTAATAAATTACGAGCCAACTACAATGGAGCTAAGTCTAGACATTTAAATTAAAATTACCATTAGAAAAGGGTTCCTAATATTTCTCAGAATAAAACTTCTCAAGACAACACCATTTGAGGAAAAAGTACTAGACAATTCAGCTAAATTTAATTAATATCTGAAATAAATTTCATTTGAAAATAAAAGCTAATGTCGTCTTTTTGCTATACAAAAACTTTTATTTATAAGAGTAATTCGTTTTGAAGTAATACGTATAAGAAATATCTAAAAGAAAAAGTCTTGCAAATACTCGTCACATAAAAACATTTTGGATAAAACTAAGTAATCATAACTTTCAATACTGTACCACTGAAAGCCATTAAACCTAATACAGAACTCAGATGTCGCCGACGTTTATAAATATATTCACCTAGATTTAACACCTAACCCCAAAGGTCATCGCGTTCATCTTAAAAAGGAATAATAAATAAAATTATTTAGGACCAATTTTGGTCCTTAGAGTCGAATCGATTTTTGCTTGCTGTGAATAAAATAATACCGTTACAGTCAACGGTTTTGGATAATTATGTCTCTGAACATATAGCTTTTTAAACATAGAATCAAGACCTGGTTTTCATTCCCAGATCAACCAAAAGAAATTCACTTAAGTACATTTAGGTAAAATTCAAAGATCTTTTTATTATAACTTTCGTGAGACATTCTAAATTAATTATTGTGTTTTCGGCTTACTCACGTAATAATTTGACGAGATACTCGACTAGTTTCAAGCCATGCTAGAGGTCCATATTCATAAGCAGCATTCTGTGACATGCGACACGGCGACTGTCGCGCTGCTTCCATGGCTTGAAATAAGTCGAGTATCTCGTCAGATTATTATGTGAGTAAGCCGAAAACATAATAATTAAAATTCATGATCAAAAATTCAGCCGTAAAAATCACGTACTTACCCAAAAATCTCAATTTTAAAGGTTAAATTGTGATGTGATTTTATAATTAAATCAAC